ATGCAAAATCAATTATAGATCCTACAACAATATCAAATTAAGCAAATTACAAATAAATAAATAAATAAAAAGGCAAAACTCGAAATTAGGTAAATTACTCAAGCAAAAACACTGAAAATATCATGTTTAACAAAGAGTACCATACATAACCATAAACTGTGTACCTTAAGAACAAAGAGTACCATACATAACCACAAACTTATGCCTAGGCCGGATGGTCCTTTTCGTGTGCTTCAAAAAGTTGGTGAAAGTGCCTACAAAATTGAGCTACCTAGTGACTATGGCGATGTAAGCTCGACCTTCAATGTGGGTGACCTTGCTCCATACTTGGATGATGAAAGCTTGAGGACAAGCTTCTTTGAGGAAAGGGGGAATGATTCGAAATTGGTCCTTGATCAAGACCTTGTGCAACCTAATGAGCCTAATGTTCAAAGGGTCCAAACACACGTTCAAGGGTCCAAAAGAATCAAGTTCCTATTGTCCATGGGTTGTTCATTTATGGCTCCAAAGTAGGCAATGTTCCACGCATGGGTTTCAACATAGCTCCATCTTTGTACAAGTCATGCGTGACTTGGATGGATGAGTAAGCAAGGTAGTTATTTTTGCCTTGGATTCTTGTTCGTATGAGCTTAACATAGAGTGGGAATATTCTCTTACTCCTAGTCAGTCCACAAGCAAGAGTTGAAGGCACAAGACAAGGCATTGAAACTAGGGAGTTACACGCATATTTTGGGGGTTCTTAATGGGAGAGTTACTCTCTTGTTGGGCGCCATTTTGAAGTGTAATTGTTGTAGTAATTTGCCTTGTATTCCTTAGTTAATTAGCTGTTTGAATTTTCAGTTTTTAGTAGTAATTAGCTTAGCTTAAATTGCTGTAATAAAGTTGTAACTGTCAGCCGTTGAAAATAGGGAAAGCTGGGCGTATTTGCAGTGAGTCCCTTAAGGAACTGCTTTAAGGAACAGCAGCAATTATTAATCTTCAATGTGTGGCGGTTTTCATGGGAACCGTTACACCTAAGGGCTGAATGTGGCTGGCGACTTTTGAGTTGCTTTTGGCTGGCGACTTTTGAGTTCCCTTTTATTAAATTAGCTAAGTAAGTTAATTAATGTAACTACTTCCTTAGGCTATAAAAGGAAGTCTTATCTAGCTTTGTAATCATCATATCTTACCTGGAATGAAATATCTATTTTGAAATATACTTTGTGTTATTTCTAATTTTAACTTGTGGATTCAAGTTACTTGAACTCGTGGACTCGAGTTAGTGAGCTTAACTCGGAGTGTTCGGAGTTAGCTTGTCTTATGGTTAGTAGAGTGAGTGTTCAACTCTAACCATACCTATCCTTGATTAGTATTGCGAGTGTTCCTTGCTAATCAAACCTGAGTTCCTCACTCTCAAGAACTAGTTCCTGTTCCTTACCCTGTTCCCACGCCAAACACTTAGCCTAAACACTTAACCCATAACCTGAAACACACAACCTAACCTTGGATTCCGCATCAGCCAGATTTTCAACCGGAGAACACCTCTACCGAGTTAAAATGGTGTTGGAAATTGATAAAATCGGTGGATGCTGCCGAGGAGAGAGAATTGGAAAGTCAAATTAGGGTTTGAGAAAGAGATCGAGCCATTTTTATTAGATTTTGATTTATTGTAGATGGGTTTGGGGATTGGATCTTAAAAATGAACGAAAGATGAGGGAAGAGACAAGTCTACGAGAGAGTGGTGGAACATCGTTCGATGGTGGAGACAGAAGTTGGGAGATGAGGGAAGAGAGAGATGTGGGATGAGATAGAGTGTGTGTTTAAAGGAAAGGAAGGCGGCTGAAATGAGAAGTGAAGTTAGATAGGGAGTACTAGGGTATTTTATTTCCTTGACAAAGTTATTTGTATCGAGCAAAAGGTGCCTGTTACAAAAACTAAAGTATTGCCCGTCACAAATAACTTAGTTTTTGTAACGGGTATCATTTTGCCCGTTACAAATACTATTTGTCCTACCCATTACGCAACTTTATTATTGTAACGGACTATTATTTTGCACGTTACAAATAGATTTTTTTGTAACAGGCATATCTGTGCTCGTTACAAATTAGCTTTTTTCCACTAGTGGATGTTGGAAGGTTGTAGATACTCTAAATGGAATCATCTCACAAGAAGCAACAGGCAACAGAGGTTCAAAGAAAAGGAGGGAGTTAGTGAAAACAAGTGGAGTAAAGGAAAGGGCACTCAAGGTGTGAAAGACAGCCAATGCAAGGCAGTCTCGTGATGAAAGTTTTGCTATCATTTCTCAACAATTAGAGCAATTGTTGAAGCCATCCAACTCAAAGCAAGGTAAGTAAGGGTATGATATAGAAGAAAAATTGGAAAGTGGATTTGCAGGTAAGATTCTTGTTGCAATGTTTCAATACTATGAATGGTTAGATGATTGACTATGGCCTGGTGTAGATGATCACATGATTTCTAGTTGTAAAAAATGGATTATTCCCATGAATACTGTTGGGAAACCCTAGATTAACCTTCCTAATAGTAACATAAAAATCACACACATTGAAAATGTGCAACTTGGAAAAAATCTACACATCGTAAAAATGTGTTTTATGTGCCTACCTTTAAACATAAGATGCTGTCTGTAAACAAGCTGGCTAGAGACTATAAGGGTGAGGCTAATTTGGTTCAAAGTTTGGTACAATACAAGACTGTGAAACTTATTAGATAATAAAGGATGTAGGAAGAGCAAGTCATGGACTCTATTACTTGGTGGATGTTGAAGGAAGAAGTGATGCAGAGAAGAAAGCAGATGATATGCTGGTGAAGAGTAGAACTAGTAGTAATGAAAGTTGTATCTCAAATAGTGCATGTAATGTAATTCAGGTAGATCAATGCACTTGTGGCATAATCTATTTGGTTATGTACCTATGAACAAAATTTATCACAATAGTAATGAAAGCAAAATTTGCCTTACATGTCCAGTGGCCTATGAGTGATTCATGTGCTAATGATAAGCTTGAATTTGTCCATATTGACATATTGGGTAGGTCCTTACAAGGTGAATAATGAAAGAGGAAATTACAAATATAGTTGATGATTTTTCCAGAGCAACGTGGACTCTTATTGAGATAAAAGTCTGAGTCATATGAAACTATGAACAATTTCATTTATTTTGCAAAAGCTTAGTTTACTGCATGTGTGAAAATAGTGAGATTAGACAATGCAGTGGAGTTTAATGATAAAAGTTTTACAAAAAAATTCAATAAAGAAGGAATCATTAGCCAAACGTCTTATGTGGATAGACCACAACAAAATGGAAGAATGGAAAGAAAAAACAATTATATCCTTGAGATGGAAAGAGCTTTTGTGATTCAAATTGGACTACCTTTGAGGTTCTAGAGTAACTTTGTTCGAACTGCTACATATATATCACTAACTTGATGCCAACGCCAGTGATTCAAAACAAATCACCTTATGAGAAATCATTTGGCAAGAAATCAAATTATTACTAGATGAAATCATTTGTGCCTTAACTTATGATTCATGTCTCAAGTGTGACAAGTTCTCACCTAGCTTATAGGAATACCATGTATGTTCTTGGGATATGCTCAAAATATATATATATATATATATATATATATATATATATATATATATATATATATATATATATATATATATATATATATATATATATAGGATAGAAAGTCATCAATCTTGCAAGCAATTAAAGCAGTCCTTTGTGCCTAGGGATGTTTGATTTCATGAACATTTCTTCCCTTATAACCAGCATAGTAGAAGTGAACAATATCAACACCTTGTTCCTATTCTCATACGAGACTGAACAAGATTAGGGAAAAGTAGAGCTAGAGAATGCAAATGTTAAGCCAACTCATGAGCAAGAAGGTGATACACATACTCCAAATCAATCAAAAATTGATTGGTGTGAATATTACAGGTTATCAAGAAGAAAGCTAGAAGCCCAAAATACCCGGGAAGAGTAGAGAGATGAGGAAATGAGAATTGTAAGAAAGAGCAGCCGACCTCAAACTATTTCATCAGGGATAGATCCTTATGACCATAATTATTTGGGTAAAAAAGATGCTACTCATATTAGTAATGTTACATTTGCTGATTTGATACTCAACCATCTTACACTTATCTTACTCCTCAGTTGGAATCTTGCATTGATCCAACATATTTTAAGCTAAGGATGATGTGGAGCATGAGGTGGGGGTCAATGCAATGAATAAAGAAACACAAGCTCTAACAAAAATGGAACATGGAAGCTATACTCACTTGCCACCTAGAAAATAAACAATTGGATGCATATGGTTATACAAAACCAAACACAATAGTAATGGAATAGTGAAGAGATGTAAAGCTAGAGTGGTTATTCAGGGTTTTTGCAAACAAAGACATGACATTGATTATGAAGAAACATTTGCTCCCCTAGCAAAGATGACAACTGTGAAATCACAGCTAGTTACGTTGTTGTTGCTATGGAAAACTAGGATGTACATCAAATGAATACTAAAATGAATTTTAGCATGGTGAATTAGGGGAAGATGACATTGCCATTAACATGCTACACTTGTTGGAATAGCAAGATAAAAGTCAGTATCAGCTCTAATACATATCATCATAAAGGGACCAAATTAGTATGCAAGCTGCAGAATTCCTTGTATGATTTATAGCAAGCACCAAGGCAATGGTTTGCAAAATTGTCTAGTGCTCTAAAGACCAATGGTTCAAAATCGGTGCCAATTCTAAGATTTCGCAAAGGTTAACCGGTGCCAATTCTGAGCTTTCACACCGGTTAACCGGTGCTAAAAGTGTATTGCCGCCTTTTTTTGTGGGATTAATAACAATTGGCACCGATTCGGTTCAAAACCGGTGCCAATAATGCGCTAAAAAATAAAAATAATTTTTTATTTTTTTTGCATTTTTTCACTTAAATTAATATAGAAACACTAACATATATATAAAGTTACATATTTTCATTAAAAAAGGCTATAATATTACAATTTTCGTCCAAAAAAATAAAATAAAATACAAGGTGCTATTGTTGCTATAACCTTGCTGGTTCTGCTGGTGGCTGCTGCTATTGTTGGTCCTTTTTGTTGTTTTGCTGTGCTTGCTATTCTCAGGCTCTTGGGTTCTTAAGGCCTGTTCATGGCTTCTCTGAAGAACAACAATGGCTGCTAGGAACGAGCCAACAGTATTACTAAAACTGTTATATGAGCATGTATTTTGATATACTCAATTTACTAAAACTGTATAAAACATTATAGATATGCAGTTAACCAGAAGGGGAAGGACAGAGATTACAAATGCTTGAAAATTCATCAATTTATATTAATGGGAGGGAGATGAGAGGAGGAAGAGCTGGTAAAACAAACCTGAAAGCTGTACTAAAAAAGAGGGAAACTCCAATCACATTGAAATGGTTGTATAGAAGTTTATCCATCCCGCATATCATTTGATACCTCCAATTTGTGTAGAGGCCGAGTAAAGCTCCATATCCGAGTGCATTTGTATTTGCAGGTGGTATTGGCACAGACAGCCTACTTTTGTATGAGTCATGTATAAGAAATTCTGTATGAAACAAATAAAAGACAAAGATGAAGTGCAAAAATTAACTTTCTCTCGATCTTTTCCTTGGGTACGGAGATGTAACAAGGTGCTTTAAAGTGCCCCTGCTGTAAATCCCACTAAGCTAAATTGTACAGCCTTGCATAAAGACAGAACACTTTTCTGCAGATCAAATTCTCTATAATGATAACTTGCTTCAAATATGTTGTTTGGGAGCTTCTGCAGTCTATTCTGTAGATCAGAGCAGAAGGTATTGACATATGAGCAGCAAGGAGCGAGTGACCAAACAATTACTAAATTGCACGATGCTACTGCGAGTACATTTATAAGTGCTAAATCCCATTCCTCCTTCATTCTGTTACAAACAAAAACAAAAACTTTGGTCGGACAGTTGTTTGATGATTGACAATGTAAATAATGAGATTGTTACATCAGAGGAAATGGAACTTATTGAAGAGTCAATCACTATTGTTTCTAAAAGCAGTAAAACATTATGCTCATACCTGCCCTTCCGGTTTTTCAGTTCTGACCAACAGAACAAGCAATAGTGACAAACTGCTCAAACAGAAGCTTATGCAAAAACGAAGGGTCTGCCATTATCCTGTTGCAGCATATCGAGGATTTAAGGTCATATATTATGCTCAGTTCATTCCATTAACACTCATTGTATGAAAGACATGTTAGTAAATCGTATAGCATAGTCATGTAATCTGTATTAAGAATTCAAGTGATTTAATGATAACATTGATCTGCTATTACAACACTAGATGAGTAGAAGCCAAGCTTATGATTGCAAATACACCGATTAAAGATGTTAAGTTTAAGTTTATACCTCCCAAGGAATTCCCTTGACATGTCCTTACGAAGCCCTCGTTGTAGTGCTCTAGTGATGGATGGCCTCGCCTCATTCAATAGGTATTTCACCAATTGAGCTAAACTTATTGCATCCTGAATTCAATGAAAATTCAAGTTTATGACCTAAGATTGATCATAAAATAAAAAATACTGTAAAATCTAGCTTTTGTACCGGTTCACATGCTTGACGTATTCCTGTAGGTAACTCAAGCAATGTCTTCTGCCACTCACTCAATACCGCATCAATGAAAACTCTATCAAACAGCTGAAATTTCACAAAAAACACTTATTGGCTATTGGCTCGTTCCTTATTTACACGGAGTATAACATGTTTCACGAGTAAACGAATCCTATAATACACATATACAATCTATATTGTTGTTTGCATACCTCTGGAAGAGATATCCTGTGACTGAAAAGTCCTTCGTCGTGTTGGTACTAGTGTTCAGCTTGTTGTGTTCTGCTTTCTGCCTCTTCTGCTGGGTGTTTGCTGCTGGATGCTGGTCAGGGTGTTTCTATGGTGTACAGGCCGCTGTTGGTTCCTGCTGTTGTAAGCTTCTGTTGGTGTTGTTGTTCGTTTGCTGGTTGTTGTTCTGCTTATGTTGTTGGCTGCTTTGTCTGCTGTCTGTCTACTGCTGCTTCTGCTCTCTTTTCTGGTTTGGTTCAAAGACAAAATCAAACCTCTCAGCTGGCTTCTTCTTAACTCAGCCGACTTTTCAACAACAGTTGCAGCTAACAAGCAAAAATACAACAAAATTAGCATATTGAGATTATCATCTGACATCATAAACACAAAATAAACTAAGACAAATGAAATCAGATCAATCACAACTCGTAAGACTGCCTTACCAAGGCTCATCTTGATTTTCGCCTCAATGCTGCAGTTGTGCATATCAATAAGAGCTACTGACACACTGCTGTTGCATTCCTCACTGTCAAATGTTACAAAATAGTCTCAACTCAAATATTTATCTCATCAATACTGGAAGTTACCAACACAACTAAAACGACATTCAATTCAATTCAGCTAGCTTTATAAGCATAATATTACCAATAAATTCCATCTATTACTCTTTCATTTCAGCCGTAACAACAGATTTTAGCGCATTCAAACCAGGAATAACATCAACAAAATTTGAGTAGGCAAAAATTAAAATTCAAATAGATGCAAAACACATTCTAATTCACACAAAATTAACACCATATCTATTCCTCATTGCCAATTATAATCATTAACTTTTCAATAGTTACCAACTTACCACCAAATATTATCAGTCATAGCTAAATAAACACCACTAAACATTCAACAATCGCTCATTCAGCTTAGAAGCAACAACAAATTCACCATTCTTAAAGCAAGAAGAAAATCAAACAGGTTTAAGCAAGCAAAATACAAATCTACATAATAAAACATGAGGAATACTCTGGTTATAATCACAAACCAAATATTAGCAACTAAAAATCAGAAGTCTACAACGAAATCAAACAGCGATGTATTGAATACACAAGTCTAAAACCTGAAAAAAAAATTAGGGTTAAAAAACACTAATAGAAGAAAAACACGAATCAAAAATCAAAAAAGTAAAACCTAGGTTTAGATATAGAGAGAAAATTACCAGCAAGAGAAAGCACTGCCATCCTTGGCACGCTTAAGAGAAAGAGTAGCAGAAGGCGAAGACTCGGCATCTGGAGACTCAGCTTCAACTCTCTTCCTCTGCTTGGGCGGGTTGCTGCTTGTTGATCCACCTCCTGCCATTTTTGCTGCTCAAGCTAACTTCTTCTTCTTCTAGAGAAAGAAACAGAGAAAGTTCTAGAGAGAGAATGAAAGATGGTGAGATCTGAGAAAATGAAGAGATGATGTTGAGGAGAGAGGAGAGAGAAGAGAGAGATAAAACGAGAGACTGAGGAAACGGAAAAAAAGTAGAGGAGAAAGAGAAAGAAAGAAAAGGGGCAGGTTTTTTTTAGGAAAACAATTGGCACGGGTTTGAACCGGTGCTATTTCAAGAAATTCGCACCGGTTTGGTTTGAACCAGTGCCATTGCTCTTACGCTAAATCCCGCCTCGATTTTTCCCACCGGTTTTTAAGAACCGGTGCGAATTCCTCGGTGCGCATTTGTGTTTTTCTACTAGTGTATACTGCAATAGTGGTCAAGGATAACTCAATGAGCCTCAACACAACACCACAAGATTATATTGCTGATATGGCAACGCAGTGGTTTTGTATGGTTTATTTCTTCGTCTTCTATCATATTCTGTACTTCGAACTTAGCATGCGTCTTTTGTTCTTGATGAATACTTGCAACACATGAGTTTAAATGAATTTTAATTTAATTTTACGAAAATGGTGGAAATTAAAGTAAAGGAATATGAATAAACCGATCTGGTGTACAACAAGTGAAGCTAATGGAGGTTTTTTTTTTTTTTTTTTTTTTTTTTTTGTGTGAGAGAGAAACAATAGAGAATTAATTCAATTAGGGGGGAAATAAACAATATACGGAGTAATTATTGTGTCAAAATAAGAAGTGTTGGAATAATTCAGAAACAAAGGGATTGTGTTAGTGGGTACATGTGTTATAGTTAATACTTTTATATTTAATTATTGGATTACTAACATTACTACGCATTAAATTAATCTCTTTTTTTTTATAAACATTTAATAAATTTCATTTTTATAGAACATTTTTTTTTTCATTTTTAACATATGTCTTCTTCTTAATATTGGTGGTTCCTTAATTATGATGATTCATGTTAGCCGACCCCAAATCATTTTGGGATTAAATTTGTTGACTTGTTCTTGCTGTTGTAATAGTAGTATTAACATATGAAGTATGTCCAATAGTAATAACCTTTGTTCGTTGTTTTATTTTACACTTTTTAATAAAAGGTGAGGTTTAAAATCAATTAAGTCTCTTGTTTATGATTGGTTGTATTTGTATATTCATCATCTATTAATGGCTCACACCTTAATTGTGATATTTTTCCTAGACTATCTTTCCAAATGAACCATTGGGTTTAGGGCGAGTTTTGGTGTAAATACAAGGATGTTTATGAAAATCCTATCATATATATCCATGAATGAAATTTGTATAATACACCAAGGTGCACCATGCTCATGGTGCACCTGGTGATGTGGCATAACTAAATTGCTCGAATCAAATTATTGTAAAAAAAAAAATTCTAGCTTAATTACAGGGAGTTTTTTCCGTTTAAATAGCTTTCAATTTTTGATAATTATCCTTAATTGACATTTTCCATTTTTTAAACATTTAAGAGAGAGAAAATTACAGAGATCCTAAAATTTTCGAGAGAGAAAATTACAGAGAGAGAAAAATACAGAGAGAAATTTGTCGACCGATCGATAGAATTCTCTGTAGAAGAAGTTAATAATGGTTTATCAATCCAAATTTCGCCATGATTCTGATGCTAGATTTGTTGGTGATGATGATGATGATATCAACAATGAAGGTGAATTCGAGGATATCGTAAACGAAAATGAAGGTAAATTGGTTAATCGATTATCTTTTCATTTGTTAACTCTTATTTTTTATTGCTAAATTTAGGTATTATTGCTAATTTACATTTTATTATCGATTTATAATTATATATTTATTTTTACAGCAATATGTTTAAGGTTGAAGATGAAGTTCTTTTATTATTTAGTTATGTTCTTTTATTTAACTTATTATATTTATTAGTGTTGAAATCAATGTTGATTTTATATGAAAAACGCATGTACATTTGCTAAATATATATGTACTTTGCTGAAATCAAGTTGCTTTGTTGTACTCTTTATGTACTTTGCTCAAATCAATGTGTTGTAATCAATGTGTATATATTAAAGAACATTATTAACATATCAAAGAACGTATTGATATATTAAAGAACATACGTTTTTTCTCATGAAAAAGAAAAAAATAATGTGGGTAATTAAAAATATTCTTTGGGTTTCAATTATACCAAGAATGTTCTTTCACTTCATAGTATGTTTTTATACTTATGTTCATGTTTTTGTAGACATGTTTGTCTGGTTTAACCCTTATATTATTATTATTATTATTATTATTATTATTATTATTATTATTATTATTATTATTATTATTATTATTATTATTATTATTATCCACGTTTTTCTAATTTATATCATCTAATAATTATGTTTTTTTTTCTTTTTTGTAATCAGGATTACCGAGGTTGATGAGAAGTTTTTGGGACAATGAAGGACTTTCAAATCTAAAGCATTCATCCATAATATTGATAAAGGACATTCATGTTATTAATAAAGAACATGATACTATCATGTAATGGACAATACGTTAATTAACCACTATGATCAAAAGACAAATTTAACATAATAACTCACAACAAGCAATGAAGGGATAGTAGAAGTACATTACGATTACAATTGATGAACATGCATATTTAAAATAGTTTACCAAAAGATCGAATTAAGAACATACAATATATGATATAATAACGAACTTGCAAAATTAATACTCTATATTATTAACTAATTATACATTACAAAATAATATAAAGTACATCGAGTTTTCCGATAAAGAACATTATTAAATCATCTAATGAACATTACAAGAGATACCTATGATCATAATTTAGACGACCATTACAAGATCTAATAAACTACTTAAATATAAAGAAAGGATTTTTAAGTGAAAAATATGAACTTTTTTTTTTTGGAAAATATAGGGATATAATTTTTTTAGTGAAAAAAAAAAACTTTTCCAGTACAAATTTGAACGTTTTGTTTTGGAAAAGATTGATTTTTTTTTGGGATAAAATAATATGAAGAGAGAGAAAAAATGAATTTGGAAAAATCAAATATTTTGAAAAGATATATGATAGCTAATATGTGGGTAATTAAAGATCAATTAATAATTATCTTTTTCTAAATTAAAGGAAACTGAATATTCATATTTAATGTAGTGTACTTTGTATCTATACCTGATGTTCTTTCCGCCTTTCTCTACTCTAATAAGCACGCGTTTTATTCATTTGGGTCTGTCGTTTTGATCCAAGTGTACCATGCGCATGGTACACTTGGGTGTAGGAACCACGCATTGATCCCTGAAAATGGTACTCTTTTTTTCTTTCCTTTCATTTTGAACTTATAATTATTATGTTTTTAGTATAAATACATTGTAGTTGGAATGGAAATTGGTTGTAGGTCAAGCGGCAAGTTATGATACATTTGTTATAACGGATGTGGGAGAACACTAAGAAGAGAAGCCCACAAATCAAAGCCTACAACGATGTTCTATCCTAAAACCAATTGACAAGAGGAGTAGCCCGCATGGGTTATAAACTATAAGACATTTACTTTGTTTTTCGATGTGGGACAAACTCTACTCACATTTGCACCTAACAATCTCCCCCTCAAGTGTGAGCCGTGTGAGCCTATTACACTCCCCCTTGAACAGAAACACACCCAGAACCTATAGAGCTTAGCTCTAAGGCAAGGCGACACTCACAAACGGTCCTTAACGCCATAAGGACCTAATGCAGACGGTGCCTCTATCAGATGGTGTGACCAGATATAACGGATGGGAGAGAACACAAGGAAGAAAAGCCCAAAAGCCCACAAACCAGAGCCCACAACAAGGTTCCATTCTAAAACCAATTGGCAATAGGAGGAGTAGCCCGCTTGAGTTATAAGCTGTTGGGACAAACTCTACTAACACTTGCGCCTAACAACATCAACAGACGATTCATTCAGCGTGAATACTTATGCGACCGTGTTGAGAGTTTGCATAATGCTATGAGGTAAGGCTACTAGAACAAACTTATTAACACAATGGTAGTTTATTGACTAAGAGTTATACTTCCTTTGCTTTAGTTCGTTTTATTTTAAATTTTGAATGTTAAGTTTACCGATGTATAATTTCAACCGTAAATATTTTAAAATATCTATGAGTAAAAGTTATAAATAGTTAAATTAGGATTGTATATTGATACAAGTCTAACAAGAATACTTGGAAAAACAAAAACCCAAGTATCTTAAACAAATTAAAGATTGATCAGTTTGCATCAAAGTGTGCATGGTCATGCACAACGACAAATGTTTTCAACTCTTCATCTTTACCTTATACTACACTAGCTTTGGCTACATGATCGGGTGTGTTTCTATTCAATGTTTTAGTCATTGTCTTCGCCTTCTCTTTGTATCTTCTTCATAACTCGAACCATAATCTGAACACATAATGTGTCCTAAATTAATTGTACTTTAAAACTTAATAGATATTGTTATGACTATGTGTGGAACTTTTATAACTCTTATTAGCCACGAGCTTAACTTATTAATGTTACAAATACGATGGATCAACTTTGGATGGAACTATAAATTTGCCTCTAGAAAAACCTTCAATAAGCCCTGTTTCTGTTTTTTATTTATTTATTTATTTATTTATTTATTTATTTTTATTATTAATTAGATCACAACAAAATATCAAAGAAATTATTTCATATTGGTTGTGTTTTAGTGGAATAGTTTATTAAATATTGATTAAATAAATCTTTAACTCTTTTTTCATTTTCTCTATATTGCAGAAATGGATCCAATACTAAAGGATACTTAGTATGGTCACTTTTAGACGTATATGAATTATTATTTGGCTTCGATTATACTTTTGGTCAATACAATGTCGATTACAATGATCCAAATTTGACAAGACAGTAGTACACCCTAAGCTTTCTCAACAATGGTACTCGAAATGTTTGAAGGGAAGAAATGCAACTGCAAATATACAAATGAATCAAGCACAGGATACAACTATTAGTACTCGATCTTCATTTTAGAAAATAGAGTTTTGTATCATGATAACAAATGATGCATATTGAGAGATTCTATTTTTTTTAATCAACTAGGGTGGCTAACGCGCATCGCAATGCGTGCGTCATAGCTAGTTATGTCCGATGAGCTATTTTGGTATGACCTTATATCACAAACTTAATTGTTGGCAACATTAATGAGGAAAAATATGTAAACAAATATTTTAAGAGTATAAATGTCTGTACACTATTAGTTGAGGAGTTTAATAAAACAACAATTAACATTAGTGAAGGCAAATAAGTAATAAAAAATTTTAGTGAATATAATTGTCCAAACACTATTTATAAGAGTTATTTCATACTTTTTAAAAGAAATAGGGATATGACAAACAACTGAATAATTTGAAAAAATCATAGAAAATAATATCTTTATTGCTATATTGAATCATCTATGATCTATCATAATATATACGATGTACTTCATACGAAATTATGAACTATACATAGCATTACAAATACTCTTTAAAAATTGTGTATGTGTGCAACTCTAATCTATAATGATATTTTGCATCAAGAAATACGTTGCATATTAGTTTTTTGTAATTAACAATAAAAGTTTACCTCCATATAATAACTACCCACCACCTATTGTCCGACACATCATCCACATTAATTTATGACATTTTTTATTTTGTCACAAATTGTGACATTTAGCATCACCCTAGTCCATATATTTTAGGCTGATTTGATTTAGAAATTTAAAATTATTGACTTGATATGTAGATTGGAATAAAGTTATTATGTGGGAAAAGGGGAGCTCCCATGAAAGACGTACTACGGCTATTATAAGGCAACAAAAAGTTGAAAGAACATGTGATAACTGATTTTAACCATTGCTATTAATTAAATAAGGTAAAATTAGCCTCAACACCTTAAAATATAGCTTGGGTGTATCCAGACATCTAACACCCCGAACTTTGACTAGTAGCTAACAAACCACTAACTGTGGATTAGGGTGTAATATGTGTCATTATTACCCTTTAATTACAAGAAATGTCTCAGTTTGAGTGCAAAAATAACATTTAATAATGACACGCATTGCACCTAATCAATAGTTGGTGGTGTACTAGCCACTACTCAAAGTTTGGGATGTTTGGTGCATCCAACCTATATTTTCGGATGTTGAGGCAATTTTGCCTTTAAATAATAGAACACACATAGCTACTGTTTTTATAATAACACAATATTATTATTATTATTATTAGTATATTTTTTTTTTATTTAATTTTTTTTTTATATATAACACTCATTTTCATCTAATACAAAACAAATACTGTGCATATATATCTGTCTACAATCTGATTTATAGTTATAAAAATAGCAAACGTATTTTCACACTCATAAATAATACGTCTAGTTTCTTTTTAGATAACACTTTTAATTTAGGCACACACTTTTAGGAGATGAGAGAGAATGTTAAAACAAGTGGATAAAGCATGTGTTTAGCTTATTTAATCAAGTTTATAATAGGATTAATTAAAAATAAACTTTTCAAAAAAGAATACGTGTGAACTAAAAGAAAACTTCCCAAAATAGAATATACTAATATAACAGTGATACATTTACTCGTACAAGTTCATCAAAAAAAAATAAAAAATAAAAAACTCACACATCAAAAGAATATTTTAGTGATCAACAACTGGTGATTAAAGATCCTTCACAAGTCTTCATCACATGAAATATTTTAGTGGTCAACAATTGGACATTTGTGATGGATTATAAAACAACCACAAATGCTTATTTTGGAATTTTGCAATCAATCACCTTTTTGAATGCAATTTTTTGTTTGATAAAAAGTACAAGGTTCTCGCAATATAGAAACAAAAATAGGTGCTATGTGCTTGAACAATAAAAAGAAAAATAACATACGGAGTATATAAAATTGAAATACATGCCTCACAACTATCTTGTTTTTAGACTTTAGTACCATGTATTATATTTGCAATCTAGTCAATTACAGTTGAAATTTGTATGTAATTGAGAGAGATAATAGAGAGAGATTATGGCAATGAGGGTTACTGCTGGGTTGTGTTTGTTGCATCTATGCTTAGCATTGTTGAGAGGGGTTGCTGGAAGTGAAGGCAAAGAGTATAATCGTTACGACTTTCCTAAGGATTTCATATTTGGTGCTAGTACCTCTGCATATCAGGTTCGTATTTCATTTCTTCTAACTCTTGATTTTTATATAAACAACCACATTAAAATGTATAGGTAAACAAATAATAATGACGATTATAACATACTTTGTTAGACTGTAATACTGCGTATAAAGTTTAGGATAAAACTCAGACTTGGCTTGTATGAAACTATGAATCAATGGTGCAAGTTTGGGCTAGATTGAATTATTTAATTTTAGTGTTTACAGTCAATAATATATGGTGACAACGCCCCATTAATTGTTATATTACAAAATCGAAAAATCTCATGTAATTTATTTGTATGTGAAGGTTGAGGGAGCAGCATTACATGACGGAAGGAAGCCCAGTATATATGATACTTTTGCCCATCGTTCTAGTAAGTTAATTAAGCTCATTTTATTTACTAGGAGCTCAGCTTACATGATTCTTATCAATGTTTACTCCTTTTTTCAACAATTTTTTTATATACTACAAAAGGCTATATAAAAAAGACAAAAAAATATTTACGTAGATAACATAATTTCCTTATTTATATTAAAAATAGGAAATATCTCTAATAGGTTTACTAATGTCAAAGTATTTTTTGACCGCATATATAATAATGAATGGGACAATATTTTATTTTTTTTTTGTTAATTTTTTAATTATATCACACAAAGAGATTTAAAAAGATTATCATTAAAAGATAATTCTAAAGCAAAAGTAGTTAATTTGTTACTTCGTAAATTTTTTTGAGGGAAAAAGCTAGCAGATAATATTATTCCAAATCAAGTTGCGACAAGATTGTAAGGTCTTGTAGAAAAAAATACATACAAATTAAACAAGCTCCGCATAACTACGAGTATTCTATCTTGCCATTAAATGTGCTAATGTATTACCTGATCTACGAACATGAGAAATTTTAAAAACATCAAAAGATTTAGGATATTTTGTAATTAACCATCCCCTCGAATCCTCAATACACTATTACACTCTATTTGAAATAATCACTCTTTTATCCAATATTATAAAAAAACCACCATTTTTTTTTTCAAAAGTGTTAGATTTCACCACCTCTTAACAAAAAGTTTCATTTTAAAAAAAAAAAAAACTCATCAATTTTTGTGCCAAAACTTGTTCTAATTAGGTTTTAGGAGTCATTTTGGCCTTTTGGATTCGATTTGAGGTCAGAATTTGAAAAATGTTATCGAAAATGTCTCATTTTGTATGTGTCACGCAAAGCGAGATAATTATTAGCATGCAAAACGCAGCATTCCCGATAATTTGTTTTTCAATTTCTAACCTCAAATCGAACCCAAAGAGCCAAAATGACCCTAAAACATTGACAAAGCATACCGAAAATTAACAAATTTATTGAAAATGCCTCATTTTGTATGTGTCACGGAAACTGAGATATTTTTAGCATGCAAAACGAGGCATTTTCGATAACTTTTTTCAATTTCTGACCTTAAATCGAACCCTAAGAGTCAAAATGACCCCAAAACAATAATAAAACAAGTTTTGGCACTAAAGTTATTGTTTTTATTTTTTAAGATGAGATTTTAATTAAGAGGTGGTGAAAGCTAAAGCTTTTGAAAATAAAAAAATAAATAAAAAGAAAGTGATATTTTATAATATAGAAAAATATGGGGATTCTGGAGGTACTTGTTGAAATTTCTTCATTATCAGGTACTTGAATTTCTTCTTGTATCATGTCTAAAGTCTCTTCTGGAGATCCGTCAAAAACTGTTTCTCTAACTTGACCATCATCAATCATTACTCCTTTTCTTTTCCAAGGATTCTTATCTTTGGAACTTATTAGTCTTCCACGTTTCTGACGAGGTTTAGACTCATTAGCAAATTTGTTTTGTCCTTTCAGGACATCTATTTTAAACGGAGCATTTACAGTTGTGACTTAGTCACTCTTTTGGGGTCAGCAAACGAGTCTGGCAATTGGTTTGCTAAACTTTGTAAATGAATTATCTTTAAACTTCCAGTTCACATTGTTTAGTTCAAGGATCAAGATAAGATAATGATGATTAGTTCGATTTAATTTCCTTTTACAACTCTCTTTTTTCTCCCCCTAATTTTGGGAAAAGTGACTCGTTAAAATGACAATCTGCAAAATGAGCTATAAATAAATCCCTCGTTGTAGGCTCAAGATATTTAATTAATGATGGTGATAGATTCAAATCCAACATATATTCCCAACCTCCTTTGAGGACCCATCTTAGAGCATTGTGGTGGAACTATTGGTACATAAACCGCACATCCAAAAATTCTTTGATGGGAAATATTTGGTTTCAGACCATTGTAATGAGGAGAACTTATGATAACTTGTTGGCTTGATGCGAATTAGTGATGTTTCATGTAATATAGCATGTCCCCATGCAGAAATTGGGAGGTTGAATTTCATTAGGAATGGTCTGGCAATTAATTGAAAACGTTTAATTAATGACTCTGCTGGACCATTTTATGTATGAACATGTGCTGCAGGATGTTCAACATTTGTCCCAATAAACATGCAATAATCCTTAAAAGCTTGAGAAGTAAATTCACCGGCATTATTGAGACGAATAGTCTTAATAGGAGTATCTGGAAAATGTGTCCGTAACTTAATCAATTGGGGCAAGTAATCTCGCAAACGCCAGGTTGCGAGTTGATAGCAAGGATACATATGACCACCTAGTCGATGCATCGATTAAAACTATAAACTATCTAAATGGTCCACATGGGAATGTATAGGCCCCAATATGTCCTTGTATACGTTCCAGAAAACTAATTATTTCAAAATTTATTTTAGCTGGTGATGGACGAACTAAGTTTATGAGAAAGCAGCACATGGAAAATTATTATGAAGAATCTACTAGCTCTTCAAAGAATGTCCACATGAATTCTCTATTATTTTTCGCATCATTATTGAACCGGGATATCCTAACTAGTCATGCCAAACAACAAAGTTTTCAGTAAACTTCTGGTTTACAGGTTTACTATAACATAAGTTTCAATAGCGCACATTGATTTTTGTGTAGTACAAACCAGTGGAGAATGTAGGGAGTTTCTCCAAAACATGTTTTGTGCCTTGAGTTATATTCGTTATTTGAAGAAATTCATTATTTTCTTCATTGATTGTCTCAATATGATAACCATTGTTGCGAAAATTCTTAAAAATTAATAAATTAAACTTCTTTGAGACAATGGGGAGTATAAAGCACCAGTTATTTTAATTTTAGTTCCCCAAGACAATTTTATGTTATTTCTTCCGGATCCTTCAATGATATCTATACTACCCGATATAGTACTCACATTAATCCTTTTCATCATCAAATGAGAGAATTTTTTTTTTTTTTTAAGTATAGTATGAGTAGTTGCACTGTCGGCAAGACATAATTCTTCACCATTCATAACTTGAGTAGTGTCCATATTCTTCATGTAATACATGTCAAATATAAGATATAATAAAAATAAATAATGATGATAAAATACGTAAATAAAACACTCAAATAGTTCATAGATTTATAAAGCATATAAAGTTTTGTTATAACCATAAAAATTAACATAAGTAAACTACTAGATTAAATGTAATACTTAAAGATAACATAACTTTATATAATTTTAATTATTCCCTTTTAGAGAAGTAAGGAAATCAGCAACTTCTAGATGAGTTGTGTTGTCAGAATCAAAATCACCTTCACCATCCTCAAGAACAAGATTTGCCTCAACTTTCTTTCCTTTCTTCAATGATTCTTGGTAAAGTTGAACAAGGTGCTTTGGAGTTCTACACACCCGAGAACAATGGCCTTTGACACCACATTGTTAACATATACTGGTCTCACCTTTCTCATTCTCAACTTTATCTCTATGTTCCCACTTCTAGTGGGAATGTGAGTTTGTGAAATGACCTCCATGACCTCTACCATATCCACGACCCCGATCGTGCCATTGGCCACGACCGTGCTCTTGACCTCTACCTTGACCACTACTATTGGAATGCTCTCTGTTTATAGTTTCTTTCCCATTATGGGTAGTCACATTCGCTTCAGGGGATGGAGGAGTAGAGCCAGTAGGACGTGATTCATGATTTTTCATCAATAGCTTGTTATTTTACGCAGCCACAAGAAGATAAGATATTAATTCAGAATAGTTTTTAAAACCTTTTTCCTTATATTGTGTCTGCAGGACAATATTAATTGCATGGAAAGTGGAGTATGTCTTTTCAAGCATTTCTGCGTCAGTAATATTTTATCCACATAATTTTAATTGAGAATTTATTTTGAACATAGTTGAGTTATATTCACTAACAGATTTAAAATCTTGCAACCTCAAATTCAACCAATCATAACGAGCTCTAGAGAGTATCACTTTTTCTTGGTGGTCATACATTCCCTTTAAATTACTCCAAAGGATTTGTGACTCTTTCATAGTTAAATATTCATTTTTAAGCCCTTCATGTAGGTATGGAGAAGAAAAATCATGGCTTTAGCCTTAACTTGAGGTGTTGCTTTATTACCATCCTTGATTGTTTCACTAAACCCTTTAGCATCTAGGTGTATTTCAGCATCTAAAACCCATGTAAATAATTCTTTCCAGTTATATCAAGGGCCACACATTCAAGCTTGGCAAGATTCAACATTTTTCTATATACAAAATAACAAGACAAGATTAAATAGTATCCAATAAACATATACTATATGGAAAACAATAATACCACTGTTAATGATTTAATCATGTATGAAAGGGCTATCATGAATTATACAATTCTTAACAAATAAACCACACATTTTTAGTCGGCTAAGCAAAATAATAGTCATCAAACTATATAAACAAAATCATATTATCCGAATCATTAGAAAAATAGTCATAAATCATTAATTCCTATGCGGCAAAACAAGAATTAAACACTTCACTACTGATATATATAAAGCTAATAATCCAAAAACTTTATCCAAGACAATGACATCATGATCAAAACAATCCCTAGCATCATACGATACATACCAGAAGCATAATATACCACAATATCAAATTAACATTACACTAATGCTATGTATAAAAAGGGCTCGTAATATTGACTGACTTACAAATATTAACGGGAATACAATATTGTCAGTATACAAAGCAGTTGGAAAGTACCTTTGGTAGCTAGTATAATTACGGAGTAAGACTGGTTTGACCAACGTAATAGCCTCGATTAGAGTACGGCGCTGATAACGTGATATATATATGATGAGAATATGTAACCTAAATGGACAATAATGAGTCTAATAATGCGGGGGTTACAATGTAGAGTAAAGGTATATAGGGTTACAAGGAGGTTACAATGAAAGTCATAATATTGAGGGAGTTACAAGCCGACCATAATGGGCATACATATTTATTATATTTTGTAACATACGTGATTTTATCACACATTTCTAAATTGATGTTAATATAAACATAATAACCCTAAACACTTTGCGCCATTAATCCATTTTTTTTAATACTAAAGAGATCAGGATAGGACAATAATATAGACAATATTTAATCTTACATTTCGACTATTGCATCGAATACTATGGACCAACTAGGCAACTACATTATTTGAGCCATGAACCTTTAAAAATATTCCTTTTCTCAACTTCTCATAACTTTTTTCGTCTTTCACTAGTTGAAAAACACAAATGGCAAGCGGTTTTGAACCACAGGGGCTAAGGTGGCATCCCATTACCTCTTTAAATGGGCAGCGGTTCAAACTACTTCCCATTTGAAGGGAATGTGTAGCGGTTCAATGCCAAAACTGCTGCCCATTATGCTTACAAATAATAAATATTTATATATATATATATATCGCTTTTTTCACTTAAATTATACACAAACGCCAAACACATGTATAAAACATAGATTTTTATTAATAATTTGTTGTAGTATTACATTTTTATCCAAAAATAAATAAATTAAATTATTAATACTACAAGTAATAAGACCGCTAATTATCCTTCACTACTCTTCCAACCACCAACAATTCACAGCCACTAATTCCACCATGCACCAAGATACCTAGCCATACCTACCAACATGCACATCCCAGCTAACACACAATCAATATATTATAACACAAAAAAAAATAAAAAAATTATTAATTAGATCATAAAATTTAAGATCTAACAACAAAAATTATACTCCCTCCGCCCACGATTATCTGCACTAAACGTCCTTTTTGCGGACTTCTAGGTAAAACTTTCAGTGGAGTTTAATTAAATTTGGGTGGGTTTAATTTAATGGGAAAAAGGAGGGAAAAAAATGGTCCCTTATTTTTTTGTTTTTGGGTGGGATAAAGTTAGTGGGAAAAAGGTGGAAAATTGAGGGGCCCTTTTATGAGTGGGAAAAAGGGGGAAAATTGAGTGTAATTAAAAAATGTTAAACAAAGTTAAAAAGTAAAAGTAATGGTAAGGTGGTCTTTTTACCCTTTAAAAAATAAAAAAAGAGGAAAAAAAAAAATTTGTTGCACATAATAGAGAACACCCATTTATGGCAAATATTGCAGATAATTGTGGGCGGCGGAAGGAGTACAAGTTATGAACTAAATGTATAATCCAAAATTACAAAAATGATTGACTATCTAAAAATTATGTACTAAACTTAATAAAATCTAAACTACAATTATATGAAAAAAATACAAATAATTAAAATCTGAAATTTGAAAAAAAAAAAACATCTAGAACTAAATACTTACCTAAATTAAATTAGATCTGGCATTCGTGTTGTGTGTGCTCGACGGTGGTTGTTGGAGCGAGGCAGTGTTGTTGTTGTTGTCGGTGTTGGTGTTGCTCGTCTTTGCTGTCGGTATTGATGTCGGTGTTGTTGCGTGCTAGGGAGAGAGGAGAAATCAAGGGGTGTTGCTGTTGGTGCTGCTGCTAGGGAAAGAGGAGAAATCAAGGAGAGAAGAGAGGATAGCGGAGAGAGAGGACCTGAGCAAAGAGGAGAGGAGAGAGAGGAGCTGAGGGGGCTAAACAGAGAGGAGGGAGGAGAGAGGAGAGAGGAGAGAAAAGTAGTTCATGAGTGGGGAAGAAGCGGCCAGTATAATGTGTTAGGGTTTTCCATTATTGAGATTTGAAAATGGCAGCGGTTCAAACCGCTTCCAATTACAATATTGGAAGCGGTTCACCCATAACCGCTTCCCATCTATATGTTTTTTTTTTTCCTACTACTGTTTCAACATCGTTTTGTTTCATTGATTTAAGTATAAATTGTAATTGTCAGAGTATGACACACGTAATCCAGACGTAGCATGTGATCAATATCATAAATACAAGGTAATCGATCAATACTTCAGTATTTCAATTAATTTTATTATTATTCTAATCAGGATTATTATTTGCTAATATTCATTAATAAATGTATGTCATCTGTCATCAGGAAGATGTTCAACTCATGGTGGAAACAGGGTTGGATGCCTATCGATTTTCTATCTCGTGGTCAAGATTAATACCCGGTACGATTACTAATCTACTAACCTTACCACATTAAAAACTCCCCTTGTGAGCCAAGAGGAGGGATTTTTTATGTTTCGTTATTCATATCATATTTTACTTAATATGTATTAATACATTACTTTCTTCGTACAATAATAAACTAATAAATACGCCCTCCACACCATATTTATAATATATATACATATATATATATATATATATATATATATATATATATATATATATATATATATATATATATACTATACTTTACTTTCTTCGTCCAAACATAATTTAATAAATATGTCATCCACACCCTATCACTTGCAAGTTGTAACATATGATACACCATATTCCTCCATACTATATTTGAAAATTAATTTCATACAATTTTCATTTTTATATTGTACATCGTACAAATCAAGCCGCTATAATTTCTAAAAATGTGATAAAACTTATGTCTTTTAGATGGCAGAGGAGCTGTTAACTTTAAAGGTTTAAGATACTACAACAATCTCATCAATGAACTCATTAGTCACGGTATGTAATACTTCTCCATTCTTTTTTAGTTGGAATGTTCTTTTATCACGTTTATCCATGTACATATTCAATGAATTAACATACTTAAACATCAATAAATACTAATTATATAGAACTATGAAAGTAAACACCGAGGAATTGAAAGGATTAACGAATGTGCTAGCTAATTTGTGATAAACGCAATTAACAACAATGAATAACGAAAGCAAGTAAAACAAAGGAACAAGAGTGAGTTTACCGTGGGAACCCAAGTGCCGGGAGAAAACCCACCAATCCACTATGGAGTAACTTGATGATGATGATTACAAGCTCTCAATACACCATGAAAGCTCACACCTCCCTTAATTCACTCTCTTTAATTAAACCCTAAGAAGATGAGCTAATCTCAAAAGGATTTTCTCTCTCTTTTAATCTAACATCATGACCTAATTAATGTCCATACACAAGTATATATAGTCTAAGAGTACAAGGCCGAAAGATCAACGACCAAGATTATCCCGATCGAAATAAAAGAAATCGCAGCGCAGGATCAAGGGCAACTATGTTCGGCCGAACCTACCCTGAGTTCGGTCGAACCTCCAAGTAGTTCGGCCGAACATACGAGACGGTGAGCATGGCTTTATTTCATCATTTGGTTCAACCGAACATTTCACCAGTTTGGTCGAACCACACCTTCAGTCGATCTTCCATCGAGCCAGCTTCTCGCTTCTCCTAATGCATCCTCATCTAATTGCCTTGAACCACTCTCCACACATTATAAACAATCTCCCACCTGGAGATCAGTTCAAGTGTGCACTTCATATATACTAAAAACACATCCATTGTTGAACAACATCTCTCTATAATTCTTCAATCTCCCAACCTTAAAATACGGTTATCTCTAAGAGATCACACTGCACACAACCAATAAACACAACATCATCATCATCAATCTCCAAAGCACACCATCCACTTCCTAAACACCAAGGAAAGCTAGGCACATCCTTTACACCAAGTAAAAAAAACTAAGGTCTACACCAACCTTGATACAAGCACTTTCTCTTCACCAAGAAAGCAATCAAACACACTCTGTTCCAACCAAGAAAGCACCATCACTTCCTCTTAACCGAGGAAGCAAGTATCCACACTTCCTTTCTACCAAGGAAGCGAAACTGAGGTCTCATCCAACCTCGAATCAACATCACAAGCAATGGAAGCAAGTATCCACACTTCCTTTCTACCAAGGAAGCAAAACCGAGGTCTCATCCAACCCCGAATCAACATCATTTCTTTATTCTCCGAGCACTCCTACCATTCTCCCACCCGAACTTAGCACCATCCATGACAACACACAACCATTCTCCCACCCAAACACAACACCCTTAGCTTGCTTTCCATGCACAACACCTTTGTGCCCATTTTTCACCCATACCACGTCCTTGTGGGATTTCTTCACATCACTCACAACTAGGGATGTCAATGGGGTGGGGTGGGGCGGGGCGGATGTTGGCCTTCCCATCTCCACCTAACATTTTCATCCCCATCCTCATCCTCATCACCACGTCGGGTCTAAAATTCATCCCCATATCCGCCCCAGCGGGTACAATTCCAAAACCATCCCTGCCCCACCCCCACTTGGATATCCACCCCCACCTAATCCCCACCCAAGACCCGCCTAATCTCCGCCTCTCAAATACACAATCCAACATAATGAATTTAGATTACAATAAAAAAAATAAAAAAAAATTAAAAAAAAAATCATTCTTAATATTACACAGTTTTTTGTTTATAATATAAGTGTATTACAAAGTATTATAATTAATAGGAAATTTTGAATTTTGGTACCTCAAAAATGGACCTAATTGAATTTTCGCACCCGTTTAAAACTTTTTTTATTTTTTTTATTTTGGTACCTATCAAAGTGTAAAATTATAGGTTTTGGTACCTTCGTCCATTTTCTGTTAACTTTTCCGTTAATGGGGCCCATTATCTAGTAATTTAATAATTTAATATATTAAAAAAAAAAAGAAAAAACTTTTTTTAAAAAAAAAACCAACCAACCACTGCTACCCCTCCCCCCTCCCCGTCAGCCACCCTTCCCCCTCCCCTTCCCGGCTGTCGGTGCCCAAACATTCCCCCGGAACCGGCGAGCCCACCTCCTCTATTTCCCTCCTTCGATCTCATCCGCTAAACCACCGCACAGCTGCCCTCCAAAATAACCATCGTTCGCGGAAAACAACCCCCCTGTTTGCCGGCCTCCTCCCTCCCCCGAAACAACCACCCTCCTCTTTTCGCCGCCCCCCAAAACCCTAAAACCCACCTGAAACAACCCGAAAAACAAACCCCGTTTAGGGTTTTTAAACAACTTAGAAAACGGGTCGTTTTCTAGGTTGTTTCAGGTGGTTTTGCGGGGGATGTTTCAGGTGGGTTTTGCTGGTGCGTGTTGTAGGGGGTAATTTTGGCGGTGGTGGTGTAATGGAGCGGCGAATTGGAGGTGAATTAGGGAGTTTCGAGTGGTGGTGGTGGCGGCTGGAGTGTGTTCGACGACTTTCGTGACAGTGGGCCGCGTGCCTGGCCGCGGCGGCAGGCTGCTATGGTTGGTTGCACACCTAATAATTGGTGTTTTGGTGGCTGGAAGGTGGTTATAGGGGTTGCCGGCAGCCGCACAGGGAGGGGGGGCTAAGGGTGGCAGGGAGGTGACAGGACTATGGCTACGCCCCACTAACAGAAAACTTAACAAAACATGGACGAAGGTACCAAAACCTATAATTTTTAAATTTGACGGGTACCAAAATAAAAAAAAATAAAAAGTTTTAAACGGGTGCGAAAATTCAATTAGGTCCATTTTTGAGGTACCAATATTTAAAATTTCCTATTTAATATTTTATTTTACATAATTGTTTTATAAAATATTATAAACGTATATAATTTTGTTTTTAAAGATATATAGGTGTGGGTATGAGGTGGGGATGGGGCGAGTACGAAGTGGGGCGGGTGGGGTGGGCGGTGATGAGGCGGGTACAATCTAAAATTCACCCCCGCACCATCATCAATGGCGGGTATGATTTTTATCCCCATTCCCGCCCCACCAGCTGCCAAACCAAGACCCCTGAGGCGGGAATGGGGCGGGTCTCCTACTTGACCCGCTCCATTGACATCACTACTCACAACTCCCATGTGAGTACCCTTGTCTTGGCTCGTTTCAACAAACGACACCATTTTCAAAGAATCACATCCCCTTTCATCACATACACTTGTGCTCTCCAAAGTGTACAAGGATCCATTCAAAGTCCCATGAGCTTCAACAAGAGCTCCCTTGACAATCCTCCAAGACCCTCTCTCAAACACAACCTTGTAGCCGGCTTTGTCGAGTTTACTTACGGAAATCAAACTTTTCTTCAACTTTGGGATGTACATGACATCCTTCAAATCTTCAACTCCAACAAACCACCATTTTTGAGCTTCACACTCATATCTCCACTCCCCATGACCTCGACACATTCACCATTTGCAAGGTGAACATCATCTTTCTTTTTGGACTTGAACCTCCAAAACAACTCCTTACATGGAGTAGAATGAATCGAAGATCCGAAATCAAGAACCCAAGCATCCGCGGAGCACTCCGTGCTACACACAAAGCATCCAGATCATGCTCCGTCACCGAGTTTGTGGATGCATCCTCATCCTTATCACTCCCGTGGCTCTTGCCCTTCCCCTTCTTCTTAATCTTGGGGAAAATTTTCTTCACATGCCCCTCACTGCCACATCCCCAACACAACACGTTGGCATTCGATCTTCCCGACCCTCTACTCTTCGACCTCCCATGATGACTAGCACTCCCACCTTGTTGTCTTCCCCTTCCCATACTCTCAAACGCATATGCCTCACCGGAGGACTCCCCGAATACTCTTCTTCGAGCGCTCTCACTCAAAATCAAATCCCTCACACCATCACTCTTTAACTTCATCTTCCCCGAAGAATTACTAATAGCGGCCACCATCGTTTCCAACGACGTAGGCAAGGAGGACAACAAAATCAATGCCTTCACCTCATCATCAAACTTAATTTCCACAGAAGACAATTAGCTCAATATCGAATTGAACTCATTCATGTGTTCCGTAGACGAGCTACCATCACTCATCTTTAAATCAAACAACCAGCGCATCAACTAAACCTTGTTCACCGGCGAGGGCTTTTCATACATACTTGATAGAGTTTTGATTAACTTTGCCGTTGTCTTCTCATCCTTAACACTGTAGGCAACATTCCTAGACAATGAAAATCTCACAACTCCAAGTGCGTTGCGAACCAAGACCTTCCAATCCTCCTCCTTCATACCGAAGGGTTATTTCGTTTTCTCAAGAGGTTGATGAAGATCCCTTTGGTGCAAATAATCCTCTATTTACATCTTCCAAAACTCGAAGTCTTTTCCATCAAACTTCTCAATCCTTACTTTCCAGTCTTCCATTGTTAATCAATCCCAAAATTCAAGATTTCAAATTTCAATAACAAACAATTGAAATTCCAACAAGCCACTCAAATTTTGAACACCCACAACACCAAAAAAAATTGATTCAAAATTTGGATTTTCAATCACAACAACAAGCAATCCCACACAAACAAATCCAACAAACAGCCAAAACAACCTTGGCTCTGATACCAATTGAAAGGATTAACGAATGTGCTAGCTAATTTGTGATAAACACAATTAATAACAATGAAGAATGAAAGCAAGTAAAACAAAGAAACAAGAATGAGTTTACCGTGGGAACCCGAGTGCTTAATTTTCATCATTTGGTTCGACCGAACATTTCACCAGCTCGGTCGAACTTCTGAGTAGTTCGGTCGAACCACACCTTGTTTTGGTCGAACTTCCATCGAGCCACCTTCTCGCTTCTCCTTATGCCTCCTCATGTAATTGCCTTGAACCACTATCCACACATTACCAACCCAACAGGAATGGCATGGAAAATAGGATCATGAGAGCACATATTAGCTACTACTAGATGGGCTCAAGGGGAATATACTGGAAGTCCATCATTCTTGATCAATTAAGGCAATAACCGGGAAAGTTGAGACTTTGATTAGCCAATCTTCTGATCTTGATCATGAAATAGCATCCGGCTATGATTGCGGGGGGTACTGTGTGATAGGTATTATAGAAACATAATATTTGTCGCAGATTTAGGATATATTTAGTATAGTTTGTATACTTATCATTCTTGATTTCCTAATGTGATAAAGACTAAGATTGTAACCCTATATATTGATTAATGGTACATACTCTAATTTGAGGATTTTTCTCAAAATCTAACATATTTTCTTTGTGATTGTTTAACCTTATGTTTTGTTTACACTTATTTTTTAAGTAAATAAAAATATATATATATATATATATATATATATATATATATATATTAAAAAAAAAACTATACGTAGGTTTCACTTTGTTTAGTAACATTTCAAATTAATTTGCAGGGATTGAACCACATGTTACACTGGTGCACACAGATTTACCACAGGTTCTTGAGAATGAGTATGGAGGCTTCCTCAATGTTAGGATCATGTATGTACTTGTCAATTCGATCAATATTCAATCTGTGTTTCATAATATTATCAATAATTATTGTTTTATTCGTCTCTTAATGTTATTGATTAATACTTTCGGTATGTTTCATTATTGACAAATCTCTTTTATTGATTAAATCTTATGCACTTTATTACTAATAATAATAATAAAAAAAATGGTTACCTCACACCCACCTTATTTAAAAGTTCGTATATTAAATATTATCAGATGTACAATGTTTATTGTAATCTCTCTTTATAATCGTAAATAAATTAAAAAATGTGTCTAATGATGATGAATCTACCTAAATTATTTTCTATTGACAATTTATTTATCCACTTATGCAGAGAAGACTTTACATCATATGTAGACGTTTGCTTTAGAGAATTTGGTGATAGGGTTCGACATTGGACAACTTTCAATGAGGCGAATATCTTCGTCTTTGGTGGTTATGATGCTGGTAATACACCCCCAAGTAGATGTTCTTCTCCCTTTGGATTTATCAATTGTACTAAAGGAAATTCGACTACGGAGCCATACATTGCTGCTCACCACATATTGTTGGCTCATGCATATGCCGTAAAACTATATAAGGAAAACTACAAGGTATGTTGATTCAATTCCATGCAGTGATTCCGATCCATTGCTTAGAATAACAAGCATAAATGCTTACTATTTTGAATGCATAAAGCATTGACATGCTTAATTACTGATTTGACTAGCTTTAATTTGCTTGTTGTATCTTGCAAAAGAAGTACCACGGCATGTAGTACTTCTAAATTGTTCAAATATCCGATATCATATACTTCGTATATATACCAAGCATGCTTGGTGAAGGTGGTGGGCAGCTGACCTTGTGACTTCAAAGTCACAAGGTCGAGCCCTATCACCTACATTTGCTTGGGAGTAGAGGATTCCCTTATCTCCCCCCTTTACTATCAAGCGTTGCCTAACTTTGTATATAAAATTATATTGTTATTTGTTTGTCATTTGGATATAATACAATGTGCACAAAATTTGCTTACCACCTTAATTTTGCATTATTGTAAGTTAATACAATTGGATATAGGCCAAACAACGTGGACTCGTTGGGATTAATCTCCTTTCTTACCATTTTGCACCTCTTACGGACACAAGAGAAGATATACTTGCATGTCAAAGAGCCTACGACTTTCTAATCGGCTGGTAAGCTCAAGGTTAATTTAATTTACTTTTTATCAGGAATAAGATAAAGGATATCTCTCAAATGAGTTTCATAAGGTTTGAGCCGAGACTCAAGAGTTTGATGTGGAGGTCGTGCCACCTCTCCACCACTTCAACCAACCTCTAGCTGAACTGTTCAAAGCTGAATACCATAATTTTATTTATTTAATTTATTTATAGTATAAAGTACTCAAAAAGTTAAGTTCTTCTTTTCTCAAGACTTTTATCTAATTGTTAGATAGATGAAAAATTACAAATATTTGACATCAATTTAAAGCTATATTATTTATGGCCGGCTATATGGTAAATGTCATAATTAACAAAGCTAAACAATCTAAAATCCGATTTGCTTAATTGTCTATATGAGTAGTAGAGATATCACAGGAATGGGTCAAATAGGAGACCCCCATCCTCGCTCTGTGGCGGAGATGGGTCCAAATTTGAAATATATATGGCTGGGGGAGTGGTACCTATCTCGGCCCCGTCCCACATATTTAAAAAAATAATATTTGTACAAAGAGGATGACCCAAGTTTGCTAAACTAATAGAGGAATGACATGATATTGCAATTGAAACAAGTGGTGAAGTAGAGGAATATGCACTTATAGAGTTATTAATTTATTATTATGTATTTTGAACACATATTTGTTGTATGTTTATACACACTTACGGTATTTTCTTAGGTTGGGGATTAGGCATTGAAGGTAGAAATTAAGTTGGTGTGAATACCTAGGTGAGACAGGTGGGGTGAGGATGGTTTTAGATGTGTATCTTCCTAGGCGGAAATGAGGTTAGATTTTGGTCGTGCCACTCGAATGGAGATGAGGATGGGTATGAAAATGCAAAGTGGGGATAGTGATGGATAGGGCAATATCCATCGCGCCATTCTCCATTGACATCTTTAATGAATGTATTTTGTTTGATAATTACACCGAATTCTCTTACAAAAATATTAATAATAAATTGAAATCCTTTTCGTAAGTTGTCTAATTATAAATAGTATACTTGTATTTGTAATGGTCAGGCCGGATGAAGTTTTTCACTTTTTAAAGCTATGTATATTTCTATTCAATGAAACTCATTTACTCTGTATTGATTTATACAATAAATTAAGTAAGTGTGTTATTATTTTGGAATCTTAAGAGAAATTCTAATTTTGACCTTATTTTATTGGGTATTAGGTTTATGCATCCCTTAACTTATGGTGATTACCCTGAAATAATGAAGAAAAATGTTGGCAACAGAATTCCAGTTTTCACAAAAAAAGAGTCAAAATTATTGAAGGGCTCATTTGATTTCATTGGAGTTAATTACTATTACATCCAGAAGGTCAAGGACAACTCTATGAGTCTCACCAAAACGCCACGAGATTTGTTTGCCGACATGGCAGTGAAGTGGATATGTATGTTTTTTTATGTCTTCATCTTCTATCGTATGCTTTACTTGAGGTTTTTTAACATAATGCACGCTTTTTGTTTTTTAACACTTGTAACACTTGGTGAAAATTAGATAATACATCCGGGTGCACCATGCTCATGGTGCACCCGGGTAAACAAAAAAAGGCGGAAAGAACATGTTTGATAAAGAACATACCTATGTTTGACAAAGAACATACCTTTAATATGTTTTTTGAGTGTGATCAGTGTGTTCTTTGAGTAAAATTATATGTTCTTTATATTATAACTTATGTTATTTAACATATGTTGATAAACATATATTTTTTTTGGGTTTAATAATACAAAGTATGTTCTTTGAATTTGGCGTGTATGTTCTTTAAGGTCGTAGTGACTCCCAAATTCTATTTTTTATTATCATATGTCATATTTAAATTACTTTTATTATCGTATATTCTTTGAGTTTGATTAGTGTGTTATTTAGGTATTAACTATATGTACTTTACAATATAAATTATGTTCTTTTAACAAATGGTATTTTGAAATATGATATTGAAATCTTAAATTATTTTTAATTGAAAATAATGTTAGAGTAAAAAAAAAAAAAACTAAATTATTATGGGAAGTTGAATTTTTTTTGGAGAGATAGAAAACTATTTTTTGGGGAAATGATATCTTTGGTAAGGATTTTTTAAGAGGTGATCAACATTGGCATGACTCGCATCCCGACCCGATCCGGCCCGAAATAGGGTGGGTTTGGGCAAACCTAAAAATACATTTTTAGTTAAAACTCGAACCGGGTTCGAAAAAAGCCCGAAAACCCGCTACTTTTCTACGGGTTTGGGCACAAGAAATTATGATATGGCCGACCCTACTCGATTTTTTATCACCTCTAAATTTTTCCCGTTAATAATGTGTAATTTTTCAGAAAATTTTATCAAGTTTTTATCTCGTTCTTTTTATTATATCTTTATGTTCTTTGGTAATGCATGTTTTTGTCAAATACAAACATGTTCTTTGTCAAATACATGTATGTTCTTTATGAAACACAGGATGTTCTTTCCGCCCTTTTTTTATTTATCCGGGTGTACGATGAGCACAGTACACCCGTGTGTATAAACCACGGATTATTTACTCGCATGTATATTAGGAAGAATTGTAGATATAGTATTACATAAATTAGTGTACACGTAAATTTAATAGGGGGGGAGGAATTTAATTGTTTATGGGATAGAAATCAATAAAGAATTAGTTTAAGTAGAGTTAGTGGAAAGAGAAACAATAAAATTATATTGCTATGAGTAAAATAAAAAGTGTTACAAGTATTCAGAAAAGATAAAAAGAGTAACTTCAATATAGTCTTAACATTAGGCCCGGTTGGTACTAAGAAGGTGTCACTCGCATTACTAACTTCATAAATTCATACTTTTACATTTAGTGCTTTTTGTCATTTCGTGTGATAGGGAAACCATTAACATCGTATACCTTTCCTTAAAAAAAATATATTACATTGGTTTAATTGCAAATTTGGTTTGTTTATTTATATATTTAAAACTCATGACTTGCCGGCTTAGACTATTGCATCAGTAGCCGTGAGCTCCTATCTTTTATTTTTTTTGCTTTATAATAACGCGAACTCCTATCTTGAGTTGTTTATCCTTTATTTTTACACGATGGCTAGATATAACCTTGACCTACTTAATACACCCTCCCTCCCTCATTATCGTATTTTTAATATTACACATTCAATTGTTTTCTTCTCTTAAACATTTGTTTATTTTTCTAGTACAATTCTAATTAGATTTTATGTTCTACCTTACAGTTCCTAATTCAAGTGCATCGCCAAAAGAGGTTACAAACTCTCCCTTAATTTATCATGCCTTGATTATGACACACTTAAGGCTCTGTTCGGTTTATCTGATTTTGTCTGAAACTATATTATCTAAATTTATTTTATTTTATCCGAACTTAATTTCTTTGAATTTTCTGAACTAATTCTATCATAACTTATTTTATTTAAACTTATTTATTGGAAATTTTATTATATCTAAACTTATATTTTATAAAATAAGATAAAAATAAGTTAAAATAATTGGAAACAAACATACCCTAATTATGTGATTTAATAGTATCTTACATATTTATTGTGATCTATATTATAGTTTACGTTTCCAAATGAACCATGGGGTTTTGAGCGAGTTCTGGAGTATTACAAGGATGTATATGCAAATCCACTTATTTTTATCCATGAAAATGGTAATCTTTTTTCTTTCTCCTCACTTTTGAATTTATTAATACATTTTGAGTGTAAATTAATGGTAGTTAAAATGAAAAATTTGTTGTAGGTCAAGCGGAAAGTTATAATACAGCAATACAAGACCAATTCAGGGTTGAATATTTACACGACCATATTGGGAGATTACTTGATGTTGTGAGGTAAGGCTACTAGAACTTATCGTAATGGTTAGTACTCTACATAATTTGAACTTCTAAAACTTGCAACACACATTTTTTTTTTTCCACCTTTGTCGATACCTTATTTCAATTGTGAATATCTTTAATTATCAATGTGTAAAAATTATAAACATATGAATATATGATATTAAAATAGTACAACTTGAGATGAATTTAACAAGATCTCACATGACTATAATTTTGCTTAGCTATAAATTAAATCATCAAAGTTAGTCAAAATTGTAAAAGTCAAACTGTTACAAGTAAAAAAAAAAATTAAGGAAAAAAAAAACGAAGAAAGTAGATATTATTATTATTATGACTGTGTGTGCAACTTTTACAACTCTTATTAGCCACGAGCTTAACTTATTGGTGTTACAAATACGATGGATCAACTTGAATAGAATTATAGATTTGCTTCTAGAAAAGCTTTTAATAGACCCTTTCGGTTGTATTTTTTTTTTATTTTTTTATTTTTTTTAATTCTGATCACAACAACATCAATGAATTCATTTCATTTTAGTTGTATTTTAGTGGGATATTTTATTTTAAAAAATTAATGAAATAATTACATAATAAATCTTTAACTCTTTTAATTTTCTCTGTATTGCAGAAATGGATCAAATACTCAAGGATACTTTGTATGGTCACTTTTAGACGTATATGAATTATTATTTAGCTTCGATGCTACTTTCGGTCTATACTATGTTGATTACAATGATCCAAATTTGACAAGACACCCTAAACTCTCTCAAAGATGGTACTCCCAATTTTTGAAGGGTAAAAACGCAACTACAAATATACAAATGAATCAAGCAGAGGATACAACTATTGGTGCTCGATCGTCAATTTAGAAATTAAGTTTGGTATTATAAAAAAAATAAATAAATAAAATAAAAAAATTGTATCATGTTGAGGAAATTCTGCTTTTCCAATTCTTATGGATGTTAATATGTTGAAATTAAATGGTTACAAAAAAAAAATGTTGAAATTAAATACTCGATTGTGTTTGAATTTCTTCTTAGGAAACCTATATTTGTACTTCCTTCATTCTTTTTCTCAGATGATAGGTTTGACTTTTAAATTATTCATAAGCTATGTTTTAGCTGTCTTTTATGATATACTTGTACGTTAAAACATTCTAAGCTTAATAATAAAAATATAAAAAAAACTTATACCTACAAGTATGTCCTATTTTTATTTTTTTTTAATTAAAAAAAATAAAAATACTCTACTATAGCATATATGTAGTAGGATCTTGCATGCAATGTGTTCTTAATACGAATATGAATCAGTTAATCTATACTAAGGACTTATTTGGCATAGTTTTTTGTTTTCAAATTTTTGTTTTCTTGAAAACAAAAAACCAAAAATAGGAAACAAGAAAAAGATGTTTTCACTTTTCTGTTGTCAACTTTAAAATTATCATGATTTTAATAAGTTGACTATATATCATATGTTTTGAAAAACAAAAAAATCTAAAAAAAGAAAACCACAACAAACAAACCCTAATCTATTAAAAAGCATTTTTAAGAAAGTCTATGTGTAACGTAGACCCCTTCATTGCACCACATCATCCACTCAACTTCTTATTACGCCACGTCAACCCACTCAACGCCATGTGGGTCTCCCTTTTATATATATGTTTCTCATTGGATGTCATGCACTTATAATAAAAAATAAAAAAATAAAAAAAGTTCTCCACAAGATTTAAATCTGCAACCTCTAATTCTAAAACTGAGCGTTTTATTACCACCAAATTATGTGATATTTAAGTTATCATTTGATACAAAATATTAATATATATAACAAATTCAATTACAAGAAAAAATGTAATGGTTTGTTAAAAAAAAAATGTAATGACCCGAGGCATCGTCCAGGCTCAAATACTAGTTATAAATTATATGGCATCAACAATATCTTTCAAAATCTAACATATGCATATCATATTTGATTGAACTAATTATCCTCGATGAAACTACAATCATTATGTATCAAGAATGACATTTTTTTACGCTCTCTTTATTCATATATATATATATATATATATATATATATATATATATATATATATATATATATATATATTATTAGTCAAACTTAATTAAAAATAATTTTTCTATTTTAAAAACTCATAATTTATTATAAAAATTTCATATTGATACTTCATAGCTCATACTACATTTCATGAGGGCATTTATCCATGTTAAGCTTTGATGATTATGAAACAAATTATGCGTATCTAACTAAATTATATATGTATTGAGATATGAATGGACAAGTCATGTAGGCACCAGTAAAACCTCAATTGTAACGGGTAAAAATGCACTATTTGTAACCGGCGATGTTCGTTACGTGTATGAGGGTTAAAATAATATAATAGTCATAACGGGAAAAAAATAAGTGTTTATAACGGGCAATTATAAATAGGTTTTAAATTAAAGAAAGTATGTGAATAGTGCATGTGTAAAATTGTAAAAGTAGTGATGCATATACTCCCTCCAGTTTTTTTTTTTAAAAAAAATAATGCATCACTTACTTTGACTTTAGCACCATTCACATATCATCATTGACTTATAAAATAAATTAGAAAAATGCTATATATATAACCCTTAAGTTACATATATGGAGCTAAAAATGGAAAAAACAAATGAAAATGTAACATTTATTACATTGATTTGCGTGTGATTTCGTCATGCATCTTAAATTAATATCAAATTAAGAAAGATATTAAACACTTATTCTTACCCTAATCATTAATATAGCATTACCTAATAAATAAATTCTCATTATTATATAATATCTCATTAGATTAGTCACAAACTCAAAATGCCTATTTTGATGATTTAATTTTAATTTGTTATAAATTTTACTAATATGTAATTAAAGATATTTTTCCTAAAAGAAAAAAAAAAGTTAAAGATGTAGTCAAAGTTGCGTCTCGACAAATGTACTAGATACTCCCTCCGTATTTTATTACATGCTCCACTTTCCTTTTGCGACTGTATTTTATTACTTGCTCCATTTTTTTTTTTGGAAACTTTTAATAATATTATTCTATTTTAATATCTTTCATATTCTCTCTCCTCCCCATTTACACAAAGTTTTATATGTGGCTGGCCACGTGCGGCTAGAGTTACTTATTCAAGGGTTACTCGGTAAAGATTATTCAGTCGGTTAGGGGTTACTCTATCAGCGGTTAATTGGTCAGGGGTTACTCGATCGCTCAAGGGTTACTCGGTCAGGGGTTACCCATTTAGTGTTTTGGTATGTGTCATAGCCACACAATGTGGCCAGCCATCGAGAAAACGCACTGACTAATTTATACTAACTTTTCTTTTTCTTTTTCTTTTTTTTTCTCTCTTTTTTTTTTAATTTTATTTTCAGGTCTTTTTTTTTTTTTCGACAGCCGACCTCATTTCCATCATATTTCATTAATTTTTACTACTCCCTCCGTTAATTTTTATGTGCAACTTTGGGGGGCTTTACGGTTCACGAGGCAAAACTTGATAATGGTGGTTAATGTATTATAAGGATATGTAATTAAGGTGGAAACAGAATGTTTGGATAATTAATCAACCACCCAATGCCACCACCAAGACCAGCCAACACCACCGCGGCCTTCACCAACACCACCGTCGGCTTCACCACCACCACTACCACCCCCACGAAACCACCACCACAACCAACCCCACGAAAGCACCACCACCCCCACGAAATCACCACCGTACCACCCACAAAAACCCATGCCACCACCTCCAAACAACCCCACGAAATCCAAATCTTTAAAAAAAAAAAAACTTCAAATGAAAAAACCATCCAGCGTCCCAGCCACCGAAACCCACCGACGGAACCACCACCTCCACGAACACACACCAAAACCCAGAACAACAACCACCCACCAAAACCCACCGATGGAACCGCCGCACTAGTAGAGAAATGCTCATTTGCGTCGCCTCATTTGCGTCGCTTGTAGAAACAAACGAAGCAAATGATATAATTTAAGTTCAGTTTAAAATATTTGCGTCGCTTATTTATTAAAAGTGCGACGCAGAACACTGATATAGGTTATTTGCGTCACTTATTAAAAGAACGACGCAAATAATAATGTCATTTGCGTCTCTCTTTTAGGAACAAGTGACGCAAATGATTTTGTGAATAATTTGCGTCACTTGTTACTAAAAGAGAGACGCAAATAACATTGTCATTTGCGTCGCTCTTTTAGGAATAAACAACGCAATTAGTTATTGCCACAACGACCATTTGTATTCCAAAACAAAATACAAAATAAAAAACCTAGCGCCCTCCACACGCCCTTATATTCTCCTCATTCGTCCACTCACTCAATCACTCTCATCTTCTCCATCTTCTTCCATAACTTTCTCTCTCTAAAACTTTTTTCCGCCATTTTCGTGATGCTTCTCAGAGCTTCTCCAGCTTTCTCTCTCCTCGCCAACAATGGCGGAGAAACCAATTCTCTCTCATCGGCAAATTCTGTTTCGAATTCTCTGAGTTTTTCTTCGGTCCGATTATCTTCACCGGCGAAAAACCCTAACAATGGCAGTTTCTCCGTTTCTGCGGCGGCGCCGGAAACTAACAGTCGTCCTTTGACCGGAGTCATTTTTGAGCCGTTTGAGGAGGTTAAGAAGGAGCTTTCTATGGTTCCTATTGTTCCTCAGGCTTCTCTTGCTCGTCAAAAGTACGCCGATGATTGTGAATCCGCCATTAATGAACAAATCAAGTAATTCTCATTTTCCTATCTCTGTTTTGAGATATTTGGGCAGACTATTTTGTATGCAATGTTGAACTTTAGATCTACACTTACAAAACTCCATTTACTTGTTAGACTCTTGTTCTATTTGTTAGGATTGACATGAATGTATGTATTTTGTTTACCAACAATTTGGGTTGGTGTTGGTGATTGTGTTGAATGATGACTATAATGTCAATGGAATTGAGTTGTAAATTTATTGGACATGTTTTTGATATGTTGCTGTCATTCCCAATTTTATGGGTAGGCCAAATTACAAAGGAAACTCTGCCAAAATTTATATTTGAATTCTTTATTATTGCTTCTTACTTTTTATTTTGTATCATATATATATATATATATATATATATATATATATATATTTATATATCATTTGCTTCGCTGATCATTAAACAAACAAGCAACGCAAATAATTCGCTTTTGAATTGTCAAACAAGATTCATTTGCGTCACAACATTGTAAAAAAGCGATGCAAATAACTAGAATTCGCTTCAACATTTAACACTATTTGCGTCGCGTTTTTGTTAAAAAAAGACGCAAATAAATCTCATTTGCGTCCAAATAACACTCATTTGCGTCGCTTTTTTGTAAATAAGCGACGCAAATAACTATCATTTGCGTCGCATTTTTATAAAAGTGCAACGCAAATAAGAGTTATTTGCGTCGCACCTATGTGCAAAAGTCATTTGCGTCGCGAACACTTGCTTCGCACCTAGAACCGACGCAAATACACTCTAAAAGTGCGACGCAAATGACCATTTCTCTACTAGTGGCCAAAACCCACCCACCAGAAATGACCACCCACCACGATACCAACCCACCGAAAACGACAACCCATGAAAACCAACCCACTAGAAACTAAACCTCCAACTCGAACCCAAAACCACGACCCACACCGCCTTCACCAACACCACCGCTGCCTTCAACGCGGGCTTCATCACCACCGGTACCATCCCCAAGAAACCACCACCACTACCAACCCCACGAAACCACCACCACCCTCACGAAAACCCACAAACCGCCGATTGAAGTTGAAGAGAGAGAAAGAAGATCAATAGGGGAAGATGAGGATGACAGATGAGAGAGCAAATATGGGGGAAGATGAAGATGAATGAGGATGGTTTTGGATTTCTTGAATTGTAGATGAAGAGCTGATGAATTAGAATAGGGTGAGAATTAGTGATTAATAAAATCTAATTATAGTTAGTAAATTGTGTTTTAATTTTTTAAATGAGGGTAAAATTGACATTTGACTAGTTTTTTTTACTAAAAGAGGAAAGAAAATTGAAAGTTACACATAATATTTAGCGGACCAAAATAATAAAAGTTACACATAAAAATTAACGAAGGGAGTATTTTTTTTTAAAAAGTACACGCTTGGAGTTGGAGCAAGTAAATAAAGGGAATAGTATTTGAGATAGAGCATTTAAAAAACCGAGACAGTATCCAATTAAATTAATCAAATCGCTGCATTTATCCAATTAAATTAATCAAATCGCTGCATTCCCAAGAATGTTTGTGATATACAGCCATGACAGGAGCGAGAAAGCGGAGGCTACTATGTGAGTGAGTAAGAAAGAAAAAAAAAATGTTCATTTCCTTTCATCTTCCTCTTTACTTTACCTTATTTTTAATTTGGGTGGCAAAATTAATTATTGTTGGTGCTAAATTGTACTTCCCCTCCGTTCTTTTTAATCGCATCACTTACTACTTTAGGAAGTTTACTTATTATTGCATCATTTCTTTTTAGGATAAAAAATATCTATGTTCACACTGCAAATACCCAACATATCCTTACTTTTTCACACTTACTTTTTATTTTATCTTACATTAGATGGATAATTTTGTATTTTTACGTTTCTCTCTCTTACTTTTTCCCACTACTAAATTTTGCCTCCAAAACCCCTATAATGTAATAAAAAAAAACGGAGGAAGTATAACCGTTACGATTTCCCAACTGATTTTATCTTTGGTTCTGGTACCTCTTCTTATCAGGTTATTTTATTCTTAATTCTTCTATTTCTTTTTTTCTTTTTTCCTTTTTTATTTTCATTTTCTTTTGAGCAAATTGAATTTATTTTAAGTAATCTAATGAGCTCCTTATTTTGTGGATTATTTTAATGTGATACTATGAAGATTGAGTGAGCAGCATTTGAAGATGGAAGGAAAGCTAGCGTCTTTGATACTTTTGCTCATTCTTGTATTTTTCTTTAACCTTTATTTACTCATCTCAGCAATTAAGTTTACAATTACTTCACATGCATGTTTGTGGTTTGTTATTAATTATTTATATACGAGATAAACCAAAAAAAAAAAAGTGCAAATCAAGTGTCAGTTTTGTAAATACTAGGGTGGCACGCGCGATGCGCGCGATAGGTAGAAATATTTGGGAAGCTCCTTTGGTTTGTCCGCACATTACTTTTAAGAGTTAATTAATATTAATGAGGGCAATTAAGTAAATAAACATTTTAAAGGATATAATTGTTCAAATACTATTTATAAGAGTTATCTCATACTTTTAAGGGTTGTTTAATTAGATTATTTGGAATGGATTCTAACTCCATTCTGAGGGGTTCTAACCCTCCCCCATTTCCTTGGAATTTCATACCCACCTCTCCCCCTAAGATTCATAATACATTCAATTAATGAAGTATAGAATTCATTCCAACAACATAATCAGACAATTTTGGACTAGTATGAGTTTTAGAATACATACCTCTGTAATATATATAAGATTCCATACCATTACATTTCAATTTGATGAACCAAACATCGGTAGGGAAGTCAAGGAAACCAGTGAGCATGACATACATTTTCGTAGTAAAATTAAATGTGACTGTGTGGGGCCTATATCGGCTATATGCTGGGAAAAATTAATTTTCGTAGTCAAACTACAAATTGATTTGGGATTCGGTGAGAATCATGGCATAAAATGAGAACAAAGAATAAATTTAAACCCTTGGATTTCCAAAATCGAAAGATATATGCTAAATTGAATGAACATAATAGCTTAAATCTCATTGATGACTGCCATGACAAATATATAATACAAGTTTACCCTAATGAGATAGAATTAGAAAACTAACAAAAGATAACCAAAAGATATTCTAGCCATAAAATATGGTCACAAAATATATCCTATAATTTCCCAAAATATATCCTCAATAACCCCCCTCAAGTTGGAGCATGAGGATTAAAAATGTCCAATTTGGAAAGAAGGTAATCAAACTGAGTCTTCTCAAGTGCCTTAGTATAAACATCCGCCAATTGCGGCTTAGTGGAAACAAAGGATGGAGCAAGTAAGCCCTCTATAATAGCATCACGAACAATATGACAATCAATCTCAATGTGTTTCGTACGTTCATGAAAAACAGGATTTCTGGCTATATGTAGGGCAGATTGACTATCACAGAACAACTTGATCGCCTTAGGGTGTTGAACCCCCAAACTCAATGGTAAGGATTTTAACCATTTCAACTCACATGTGATCGACGCCATGGATCGATACTCGGCCTCAGCATAAGATGTTGATACTGTAGGTTGTTTCTTGGTCTTCCAAGAAATAGGAGAATGACCAAGAAACACAAGCCAACCTGTCAACGAACGACGAGTAAGAGGACATGGCGCCCAATCTGAATCACACCAACCCTGCAAAGTCAAGTCACTATCTGCACTCAACAAAATACCCTGGCTTGGGGTGCCCTTTTAAATATCGAACCACCCTCAGAGCTGCCTCCCAATGCTCACTACGAGGCTCTTGCATATATTGCGAGAGAATATGAACAGAATACGCCAAATCTGGTCTAGTAACCGAGAGATAAATTAACCGCCCTACCAGTCTGCGATAAGACTCAAGATTCGCAAGTAACTCACTACTAGCAAGGCTAAGCTTATGATTTTGCTCAATCGAAAAACCACTTATCTTTGCCCCTAATAGCCCTGCTTCTGAAATAATATTTAAGGTGTATTTTCGTTGACACAAAAACAAACCAGATTTACTACGAGCAACCTCGATGCCTAAAAAATACTTCAAAGGACCAAGATCCTTCATCTTGAAACAATCACAAAGGTAAGCCTTGAATACAGTCAATGCAGCGGAATCATTCCCATAGATAATAAGATCATCGACATAGACTAAGACTTTAATCTGAACATTGCCATTAATGTATGTGAAAAGAGAATAATCAGAGTAAGATTGTAGAAAATCGTACCCTTTCAGAGCCGTAGTCAGTTTTGCAAACCAACACCTAAGAGCTTGTTTCAACCCATACAAAGACTTTCTCAAACGACACACCAAACTCGGATCCGAGCTCTCAAAATCGGGAGGTAGTTTCATGTACACCTCCCCATCCAGATCACCATGTAGAAAGGGCTGAAAGGCATTATGAACATCCATCTGCTAAAGCTCCCAATTTTTAGAAGTGGCTATAGCAAGAAAAGCGCGCACAGTAGTCATTTTTGCAATCGGAGCAAAAGTCTCACCATAATTGATACCTTCTTGCTAATGATTACCAAAGACAACTAACCGAGACTTGAGATGTTCAATATCACCATTAGACAAAAATTTTGTCTTGTACACCCATTAACTGCCTAGAGCCTTCTTGCCGGGAGAAAGATGCTCTAATGTCGAAGTCCCATTGTTTTCTAATGCCCTTATTTCCTCTTTCATAGAACGTCTCTAACCGTCAGATTTCATGGCTTCTTTAAAGGATCTTGGATCCTTCCCTGAACACCTGCTGCAAGAAACTTGCGATAATTCACAAAAAAAATGTCACAATTTATATAGTGCGCTAAAGGATAAGGCGTACCTGAAGGAGAATTGGAAAACGGAGTGGAGGGAGACGGATTTTTAGCAAATATAGAATGAGTCACATAATCCCGAAGTTTGACGGATGGAAACTTGTCACGGTGGCCAAGACCCATGGGAGAGTGGGCTGTGGTTAAACACGGGTCTGGACCGCACCCACAAAGCAAGAGAGAGAGTCCACTTCACAAGTCCAAAGGAGGTTCCATCCCAAAACCATATGGCAATAAGAGGAGTAGCCCCTTAGCCTTATAAAGTGATTAACTCTATCTTTTTCAACCAATGTGGGACACTTACATGTGGTGATACTTGGGAGGTCTATTCTTCAACACTCCCCCTCACATGTAAGGTCCCTTTTTAACTTTGTCTCATGTGATTTTTCGGGATAGAGTGTGTCTTCACTCCCCCTCACATGGACCTACTCTTGGCCTAGTGAACTTTAGCCATTTAAGGTCCCATATCGTGGGCTTGGCTCTGATACCATGCTAAATTGAATGAACATAATAGCTTAAATCTCATTGATGGCTGCCATGACAAATATATAATACAAGTTTTCCCTAATGAGATAGAATTAGGAAACTAACAAATGATAACCAAAAGATATTCTAGCCATAAAATATGGTAACAAAATATATCCTATAATTTTCCAAAATATATCCTCAATAATATATATGCTTCTCCTGTCAATAATAACATCATCATAATTTTACATCTTTACAAGCTAGTTCCAATTCCATTACCTTTAACGCAATTTCTTTTGTTTTGTTAACTAATTTACTTATCTAAAGTAATTTTTAATCAGAAAGATTGAAAAGTTTGTTGTTAAGGTTGTTAATTGTTGATTAGTAATGTTGTGTTTCTTCATTATATACTAAAATAATAGTGTAAAAGAGTGCCCTAAAAAAAGAGTGTAAAAAGAATTCATAATTTGGTATCTACTTTTGAATTAATATATTTACTTTAATGTTATTTGTTTTACTTTAAGCACAAGGAATTTGATCTCAGTGTTAATTTTAAAATTGGTTCCAACTTAGTTTAGATATTTATATATATATTAGTATAAAAACAAGTCAAATTAGTCTAAGCCTCATTCATTTCACCTTACAAAAAAATAATATTCAGTAAAAACAAAATTTCACTTTAGTAAAAACAAATCATTTTAGTAAAAATCAGTAATTTAACTTTAAAAAGGAAATATATATGATAGAGAATTCAATTAAAATAATTTCACTTCAGCAAAAATAATTTCAATTCAGTAAAAATAATTTTAGTTTAGTAAAAATAATTTCAGTTCAACAAAAAAAGTGAAGTGAACAGTAAGAATAAATAGTGAAAAAAGTCATGTTTCTTCTATGAAAAGAAAGTAAATAAATAGAAGTGAAATGGGACTTATATTTACATATAAGAGTTTGTTTATGGTGAATGAAATTGAACTTTTATTTGGGGAAGGAGTGAGTATACAAGTATATAAACAATTGCTAGTACCCTAGTTCGTTTATGTTTGCTTATTTGCATTTTGCACAATGTTAAATGCATATATTTGACTTTTACATGTAAAATGCAACGGGGTATTGGATTTATCTCCGTATACATTACTCTTGGCTCCATCATGTTTGTCGAATTTATAGTTTTCACATGTTTCAATGCACAACTTTGAGCATCGATACAAGTTATTAGTTATTTATAATTAAAAGTTTTATAGAAATCACTATAAAACTATGATTTGAAACAAATTTAGCAAAACCTCACGCATCTTTGAGCAATCTCATTATATATCCTTTTTAAATCTTGTAGACCAATGTGTGTGTAGGGGTGTGTGTGGAGTATGCAATAAATAAAGGAGCAAGTAACTAAGTGTGACTAAGAATGTAAGATAGATAGCTCTCATAAGTAAATTTAAGCCTATAAAAACACAAGAATAAGAAATTTATAAACGTACAATTATTCGAATTGGAATTATATTTGCCAACATCGCAAGCAATGTTTTGTCACCTAACTAGGATAAGAAATTTCAGGGAAACATTTGCAAGGCACTGGAGATGTTACATCTGATGCATATCACAATTACAAGGTGTCAAAAATTCTACTCCTTATTACATGTCTTCTGTATTATGAATTACTATAATATAATTGTCACACTAGTTTTAAGTGTCTGCATTATATTTAACAAACTCTTTTGCATTGGATAATTGATCTTCTATTCAGAAAGATGAACTCATGGCAGAAACAGGATTAGATGCATATCGATTCTCTATCTCATGGTCAAGGCTAATACCGGGTAAAAAAGTCAAATCCTTGAGGTGTTAGTGATGAATTAAATCAAAGTGCTAATTTGAAGTTGATTTCTTGATATTTTTTACATCGCTTTCAGATGGCAGAGGACGTGTTAATCCCAAGGGTTTGGAATACTACAACAATCTCATCAATGAGCTCATCAACCGCGGTAAAATCTTATATGTTTAAGTGCATTTATAAATAGAGCATTACATTGGTTATTGTATATCTTTCACTTGAGCTCAATAGAAAAGTTATGGTTTCAATTCATTCTGCAGGGATCAAACCACATGTTACGTTAATGCACTTAGATACACCACAAGCGTTGGAGGAAGAATATGGAGGTTTTATCAATGCGAGGATTATGTATGTGTTTCTTTGATTACCAAAATCATATTATAAACTGTGTCCTTTAAGTAAAAAAGTGTTCACTTCATCTTTAAGGATACTACAACCTTTCTCTCCATGTAGTCGATGAATGCTACCTGGATGATCGACGTTTATTATAGGAAGAGTAGTGGTTGGTATAAGTTTCTGATATTGATATGTTGTTACTTGTTACAGAGAAGATTTCACCGCATATGATAATGTTTGCTTTAGAGAATTTGGGGACAGAGTTCTGAATTGGACAACTATCAATGAGGCCAATGTATTTGTTTTAGGGGGTTATGATAATGGTGTGTCACCTCCTGGTAGATGTTCTAACCCTTTTGGACTTTATTGCACGAAAGGAGACTCGACAACTGAGCCATATCTTGCTGCTCATAACATATTGCTTGCTCATGCATCAGCTGTTTCACTCTACAAGGAGAAGTATCAGGTTTGACTAAAAAACATTTATTTGTAATCTAGACATACATGCTTTTTTCTTGATCATTTTCAATTCCTCTTCGCTAAAGTGTTAGGCACATTTTCATTGTGCATTGGTTTGTAATCCTATCAATCACATTGTTTATATATGCAGGCCAAACAACTCGGTCAAATAGGGTTCAGTTTTTATACCTACCACTATATTCCTTCAACAGATTCGACTGAAGATGTGATTGCAACACAGAGAGCACGTGAATTTTCTGTTGGCTGGTAATTTCATATTACGCCGATGTTAATTGCCATGTATATCTAAATACTTTATTAGTGTATTTATCGGTTGTACATATTGTTCTTATTGAATAAAATGTCACAACACAGAGATTGCTGGACTGAATAGGCTGAAATTCCTATAGGTAAAAGCTGATTTTTATTTGATCTTTTGCAGATTATAATTATACAAGTGATTCACCAACTGAAGTGGTAGGGAGTTATATTTACCCAGTTGTGTTATGATTTCGCTATATTCGTTGATCCTATAATACATTTTACCCTTTTCTCCCAGACTACGTTCCCAAATATACCATGGGCTTTGGAAGGACTTTTGGAATATTTCAAGGATGTTTACAACAATCCTCCGATTTATATATATGAAAATGGTTCGTTATTTTGTTCTCTTTCTGCAAAAATTACTTGATCATATGTTCATATCCATATTCATTAACTATGTTTTGCTATGAAACTTCCTGCAGGTCAAGTGACAGAGCATCGTACCACAGTATATGATTTATCAAGAGTAGAGTATTTGCAAACTCATATTGGAGGTGTGCTTGATGCAGTGAGGTAAGATTTATTTCAGTCAAAAGAATGATTATCGAAAGTTTAACGACTATTATAGCATAGTTTAGCTCTTATAACTTGCTGCATTAATATCATCATATTGTTATTATCCAGTTAGGCCAGACTTATTGCTCCTTTGTTATGAAATAGGTTGTGTTGTAACTTCTTATAGATTTGTATGGAACAATAGTCAAAGTAAAAGCAAAATGAAAATAAACAAGAAACACAATTATTTTACGTGGTTTGGTCAGTTAGACCTAGTCCATGAATGGAGGATTCAGAGCTTTGAGGAATAACAAGATCGAAAAAAACAAAGAGCCTTTCCAATGTACTTATAATGAGTTCTACTTCGTCTTTGGCTTTCTTACAAAAACTCTTTAATGGTTTCAAGGCACAACTGTTTAATTAAAAAAAATGTCATAGCAATAATCACACTAGGTTACAATTTTCCTAATTGAACTGCGAAAATGGAGGTGAAGGGAGTAGAGTATGCATACAGTAATACAGGTGACAGTTCTGCTAAACCTCAGTAATTAATCTGCATATAACTGGGCATAATCAACTCAGATTACTGATTTACTGCATATACCTGAGTTTGCCTATAAAAATGCTTAGCTTAATTAAATTTTTAGAGCTGGTTTATAAGAGTATACATCTTTGCATCAGTCTGTCGAAATCCACTTACAATTTTCTTTTGTTTATCTCAATTTGTTTGCAGAAACGGATCAAATACAAAAGGGTACTTTGTTTGGTCATTTGTGGATCTATTTGAGGTATTATATGGCTACAAATACAGCTTCGGTCTGTACTACGTTGATTTTCATGATCCAAAACGGACCACGTATGCTAAGCTGTCTCAGAGATGGTACTCAGCATTCTTGAACGGGAAAAATGTAACTGTAAATGATGAAGGCAACCAACCACGAAAAAGGTCCACCATCCTTGGGACTACTCTAGATTCGGATGATAGGTTATCGAGTTATTAAGGCCTCTATACTTTGTACTACTTATGTTCGCTTTGTATTTTGAGTTTGAGTCACCCTAAGTAGAGAACTAGTTCGTGGTGAGGTATGAGAGGGGAAATTGGTAATTCAGTTTGATCGAGCAACCTTTATTCCATTCTCTTCTCTCTACCTCACTAGAGAACCAACTAGATTTACATTTAGCCTTATTCCACATATAATAAAGTTATCATGCCCTCTTAATCTTTGCCTCTATAGAGCAAAGCCTTGCATTAATATTCGTGGATCGGAGTTGAGTCTCCAGATTATAATAGGTTTCAAGTATGTTATATTGTACCATGTTACCATGTACATTCATTTTGTACATCTTCTTGTTCTTGACAATCTACCAAAACTTCCAAAAGCTACTAGTTGCAAACGCAAATAAAATGAAAACGAAATTGGTATGAGTAAAAATTTAAAGAAGTGATACTATGAAATTCATTTCATCAGAACAAATTCCTAAACCACAAATATATTCAATTATATATGAGCAAAAATTTAAAGAAGTGATATTATGGAATTCATTCAACAATCAGTGGTGGATCTAGGATTTTCGAGATGGTGAGTCGCCCTCAATTATTGATCACTTGCGAAAGTACAATTTATTTTTCCCATCTCTTGTTCATAATTAATTTCAATCCAAAAATTATATTAAAAATATATATATATATATATTTCACCAAATTGATTTCAATCCAAAAATAGGACACAAAAATCCATACTACAACCAAACAGTACTTAAAATTCAATCTTACAAGTCAAAAGTACTACAAATAACATGTTACTAACAAGTAGTACTATAAAAATTATTACATTAAATTAACTTTATGATTTTTTACTTAATTGATAAGCATTATGAGAAAATATTAAAATTGGTTGCACAAATAAAGGATATAAATAGAAACAAAAATTATTAAAAAAATTATACAAAAAAAAAAAGTGAGATAACTTGAGAGACAGGTTATTAAATGTAAGCGGTCTCTTTAATAAAAAAGAAAGCAGCAAAAATCATGAAATGCAATAGCAGCATCAAAGAGACCAGCATCAAAGAGACTTGTTATCTAAATAATGTCTCTTTGATATTTAAAAAAAAAAAAAAACACTGACGCAATGCAAAACTCTTGTAGCAATAGCAGCATCAAAGAGACTCCCTATCTATAATAAGCGGTCTCTTTGATATTTTTTTATAAAAAAAAAAAAACAAACATCAATTAATATTTATTTATTTATTTTTTTAACTGGTGAGTCACGTGCACCATTGTGCACATAAATAGATCCGCCCCCTGTCAGCAGTAGGTTAAGACTGTGTTTAAGCAGGTTTTTTTTATTAACACCAAGTTTTGTATCATAAACTTAAAAGGTGTTATTGTACATTTTGATGGATGTGGCCTATTAATATAATCTTAGTTTCTTGTAAAAAAAAAAAAAAAAATTAACAACATCCCACTTATAATATGGTTTTAATTTTAATAATAATTTATTTTCATACGTGGTAGTTAAAGTTTTCAAAGTTGACCATAAAAATCTAAATGTAACAAATAACCAAGGGACTACAAGACTTGTGTTAATTAATTAATTAATTAATTTTTTGATTTCATGGAATAAGAAAACACTCTAGGTCCCGTTCACTTCTCCTTAAAATGTTAATATTTAGTAAAAATAATTTGAATTCAGTAAAAATAAGTTTAATTTAGTTCAGTAAAAAAAAGTTCAGTTTAGTAAAAATAATTTCAGTTCAGTAAAAATCAGTAACTTTAAAGAAGAAATATAATAGAAAATTACTAACAAAAAATTTCTGTTCAGCAAAAATAATTTCAGTTCAGTAAAATTATTTTTAGTTCTGTAAAATAATTTTTAGTTCAGTAAAAATAATTTATGTTCAGCAAAAATAATTTTAGTTCAATAAAAGTAATTTCAGTACAGCAAAAATAAGGTGAAGTGAATGAGGCTTAACACTACTTATGTGAGAGTACTCGACCTATACCTTTGTCCCTCTAACACTATTTCACCCGATGGGGTGGGGCGAGCCTGGCCTCTGCCTAAACAGGCGAACATCCACCCAATAATTTTGTGAAAATTCTAGGGCATAATTTTGAGGATTTAAATTCGATCTTGGTTTACGTCCAATTTAGAAACTTTGGCCGTTGAGTTAGGTGACATACCCTCTAGCATGAAAACACAAGTTTTCTCTTATTTCCTTTTTTTTTTTATTTTTATTTTTTTTTTTATTTTTTTTTTTTTTTTTCTAAGCTGCATCACTAGGTAATTTATGGAGATGAGAGAGATAGAAAGAATAAAGAAATAGGCTCATGTGATAGGAGAGAGATAAAGAGAATTTATTAACTAAAAAGGAAAATAATGAAACTAATTTGAAATTTTCATTTTAAGAAAGTGATGCAACTAAAAATAAAAATGGAGAAAGTACATGTTTTTTTATATTCCGCTCACAAAAATATATAGAGTAATCCTTAAGCCTCCAATTATTCACCCTTTTAGCTTGGGCTAAAGGTAATTGTGTTAATTGCAGAAGGTATTTGTTATCAGGATATTATGCATCTAATGTTTTGACCTCCGATCCATACCACAGTGCAACTAGTACATTGATATCTATAATAATATCTTCCCTGTTAAATATTATACTTAGTATCTTGGATTTTATAGGATATTTTTACCAAGAATAAGCACATGCATTCTAAGCGTGATGTAACTTAAGAGGTTCTTGATTTCCAAACTCGAGGATAAGGTGTCTAATTTTTGTGGAATTCCTTTGGATTCTAAATAAATCACCTATGCTATTATGGTGCATGTAAATGTACTTTTGTAGTTCATACGATTATTGTAGTGATAAAATCATTTTAATGTCGGTGTGTTAGCCTTGTCAAAAACCATATTTGAAGTAGTGATTACTATTTAACCTTTTGAACTCCCTATTATCTCAAAATTTTGGTGATAACATGTTTGAGAAGAAATGACATAATAATATGATATATTATTAATTATTTTTTTCTTAAGATGATAGATTTGGTTTTTGTTGTCTAATTGGCTAGTTAAAGATATTAAACAACAAATGATGTATTATATATGTCTTGTGTGTTTAAGGACAAATAACATACCAACCAAACATCTAAAAGTGCTATATTAGCATAAAACTCTCTTTTAGTAGCTAAAGCTTTGAATTGAAAGGAAACGAGTTTGTATATGATTAGACTTTCCATCGACATATACAATTGTATAGGCAAATAAATACAGGCAAGTTCATATTTATCTAGTAGTTCAATTTGTAATGGTTGTCCTACTTTGACATTTTAATCTATTCACATAAGAAAAATTGCTCCTGAACTATATTTTGGCTGCAACTAACACCCCGAACTTTGACTAGTAGCTTGAACACTACTAACTATTGATTGGGCTGCAATACGTGCCATCAATTACCTTTTAATTACCAGAAATGCCTCAGTTAGAGTGTCTAAAATACCCATTATTGGCACACATTACGCCCCAATCAATAGTTGGTGGCGTTCTACTAGTTAAAGTTTAGGATGTTAACTACTGCACTGACCCAAATTATAATTCAGGGTGTTGAGACCAATTTTACCTTATTTTGATCATACTTTATTTAAATATATTTCGTTAACAACAATAGTTAAGATTTCACACGATATTGGACTTGACAAACTATATATTTACTTTCATAATATCAAAAAAAAATTTGTTTATTTTATTGAGATATACTTAAAGATAATACTTGTCAACTTTAAGCGCGTTAACAGTCATGTCCAATGAAAAAGGAACAGCAACAATGTTAAACAATAAAAATACTTCGTATATTAATTAGTTTATCGAAAAATTAATATCTTCCTCATTTCCTCATCATCCAAAACTCGAAAGGGAGGTAAAGATAAAGTATGAAAAGATGGTGATACTTGATGAGAGATAAAGGAAGATGTGTTGTAAATTTGACAGTTAGTACTGTGTCTTGTAATACCCTAATAAGCCATGCATGTGAGGAAGATGATCCAAGCCAGCCTAGAGAGGTGGTTACGTTGTTAATTGTTAGCCTTTCAAAGTCTAAGGAATGCCTCGGATGCTTGTTTTTTTTTTAAACAAAAGCAAAACGATTTGATGTATATTTTACTTTGTTGAAGAATTTATGTCTCTTGTTACCAACTGATTAATTCATATACCCCCCTCAACTACAACATATTATACTATTTTCCACTTGATTCAATGAATGTACATATAGTAGGTTTAAAACAATTAATTAATAAACTGCAAAGAAAATATAAATTTAACAACCACTTAAAATTGAATCAAATAAAAAAATTATGATAGATCAATTATGAATAGTCTTGCAATGAATGTGCGTGGTACATCGTATTGTTGGAATATACATCTCTCGTGCATATATTGAATCAAATAAAAATCTTTCACACGTATTACTAGAATATACATCAACTTTTTCATAGAAATGATCTATCATACGATTGGTTGCAGCAATGGGAATGGATAAGTTTCATCTAGGTGATTCATTTGAACATTTTCGAAAACTTTTTTGATAGCCATTGCAACTCCACATAAATCTTAACCAACAAACTTATTTACATGCAAAAAATGAGAGAGTTTTTTATAAACCAACAACTGACTCCCTATAAACAGGTACGCTGCCATTAGGAATTGAGCAAAAATCTACACTACTATATGTGTGTAAATTTGTACTGGGTAAAATATATATAAAAGGACGAACATCTACTCCCAATTCCTCTTTTCAAATTTTAATTAAGAATTTTAGGTTGGAAGAAGGGTATGTATAGGAGAACTAATGCAACCGGAATTGAAGGGAGAAGGAGATAAGGATGTCTAAATCAATAAGTGCTCTTGTCATGGTCCTAACCGATACCGAGATATGTACCAAAATTGAGTTAAGCTTTTATTTAAAACCTAACTTGAGCCTTTATATGCCAATCTCAGACAAGTTGGCCTTA